AAACATCCTTAAACTTAAACTTTTCTTTCTCATACTTGAGTTATATTATAACTTATATTTCTTATTTTATATTCAAATTAAACTGGAAACAGATAATTTTGATATAAAATCAAAAACCCGAGCCCGACATCAATCACGTTTTGCGAATGTTGTGACAAAACGGCTCTACTTTTTGAAACGATCTAAAAATCTTGTTGCCTAACGAAAAGTGTTATACACTATATTGTTTAAAAAAGAAAAACAAAAAAACTTTTACCACCAAGTTATATTTTCTATGATCTCAACAAGGCTTATTTGATAAAAAGCCGGTTAAAACCTCAATTGTAAAGAAATATAGCGTATTTTTCGTTGGGACAAGATGGCTATACTTTTGAAGTCATGGCAATAAAAACTATACGCATGTTTTCTGGCAAAATAATATCACGAACCAGGAATCAAGTAAATAAACTTTTAAAATATCAAAAATATTTTTTCCTATCAGCATTTCCAATTTCACGATATAAATGCACAAACCCGATATATGCTTACCTTGCATATGCTTGGACATTTTTCTGACCATTTTCAACAAGAGTGCACACGCTGAAATGTCTCGCCTTCTGTACTAACCATTGATATTATGTTGATAGTCCTAAATGAAAGCTTTACTACAACTATTACATAAACTTAACATGATCCAAGAAAATGAATTCAAGGTCATATAAACCAAACGAGAAATACATGTACACCTTACAATCATTCAATACACTAAATATAGTTGACCTATTGCTTATAGTTTCTAAGAAGCAGACTTAACCAAGACAAGAGTGCACACCCTGAAATGTCTCGCCTTCTTTACTAACCATTGATATTATGTTGATAGTCCTAAATGAAAGCTTTAATACAACTATTACATAAACTTAACATGATCCAAGAAAATGAATTCAAGGTCATATAAACCAAACAAGAAATACATGTACACCTTACAATCATTCAATACACTAAATATAGTTGACCTATTGCTTATAGTTTCTAAGAAACAGACTTAACCAAGAAAACTAAACATTGACCAATGAATCGTGAAAATGAGGTCAAGGTCAGATGAACCATGCCAGGCAGACATGAACAGCTTACAATCCTTCCATACAACAAATATAGCTGAACTATTGCTTATAGTTTAAGAAAAACAGACTGAAACACATAAACTTAACACTGAGCAATGAACCGTGAAAATGAGGTCAAGGTCAAATAAAACCTGCGAGACTGACATGTACATCATAGAATATTTCCATACACCAAATAAAGTTGACTTATTGCATACATTATAAGAAATAAAACCAAAACTCAAAAACTTAACTTTGACCACTGAACCATGAAAATGAGGTCAAAGTCAGATGACACCTGCTAGTTGGACATGTACACCTTACAATCATTCCATACACCAAATATAGTAGACCTATTGCATACAGTATAAGAAAAACGGACCAAAACACAAAAACTTAACTATAACCACTGAACCATGAAAATGAGGTCAAGGTCAGATGACACCTGCTAGTTGGACATGTACACCTTACAGTCCTTCCATACACCGAATATACTAGACCTATTGCTTATAGTATCTGAGATATGGACTTGACCACCAAAACTTAACTTTGTTCACTGCATGATCCATCAAATGAGGTCGAGGTCAAGTGAAAACTGACTGACAGGCATGAGGACCTTGCAAGGTACACACATACCAAATATAGTTATCTTATTACTTATAATAAGAGAGAATTTAACATTACAAAAAATCTTAACTTTTTTTTCAAGTAGTCACGGAACCATGAAAATGAGGTCAAGGACAATGGACATGTGACTGACGGATACTTCGTAACATGAGGCATCCATATGCAAAGTATGAAGGATCCAGGTCTTCCACCTCCTAAAATATAAAGCTTTTAAGAAGTTAGCTAACGACGCCGCCGTCGGATCACTATCCCTATGTCGAGCTTTCTGCAACAAAAGTCGCAGGCTCGACAAAAACTAAACATTGACCAATGAATCGTGAAAATGAGGTCAACGTCAGATGAACCATGCCAGGCAGACATGAACAGCTTACAATCCTTCCATACAACAAATACAGTTGACCTATTGCTGATAGTTTAAGAAAAACAGACCGAAACACATAAACTAAACACTGAGCAATGAACCGTGAAAATGAGGTCAAGGTCAAATAAAACCTGTGAGACTGACATGTACATCATAAAATATTTCCATACACCAAATATAGTTGACTTATTGCATATAGTATTAGAAAAAAGACCAAAACTCAAAAATTTAACTTTGACCACTGAACCATGAAAATGAGGTCAAAGTCAGATGACACCTGCCAGTTGGACATGTACACCTTACAATCATTCCATACACCAAATATAGTAGACCTATTGCATAAAGTATAAGAAAAACAGACCAAAACACAAAAACTTAACTATAACCACTGAACCATGAAAATGAGGTCAAGGTCAGATGACACCTGCCAGTTGGACATGTACACCTTATAATCCTTCTATACACCAAATATACTAGACCTATTGCTTATAGTATCTGAGATATGGACTTGACCAGCAAAACTTAACCTTGTTCACTGATCCATGAAATGAGGTCGAGGTCAAGTGAAAACTGTCTGACGGGCATGAGGACCTTGCAAGGTACGCACATACCAAATATAGTTATCCTATTACTCATAATAAGAGAGAAATTAACATTTACAAAAAATCTCAACTTTTTTTTCAAGTAGTCACTGAACCATGAAAATGAGGTCAAGGACAATGGACATGTGACAGACGGAAACTTTGTAACATAAGGCATCTATATACAAAGTATGAAGCATCCAGGTCTTCCACCTTCTAAAATATAAAGCTTATAAGAAGTTAGCTAACGCTGCCGCCGTAGGATCACTATCCCTATGTTGAGCTTTCTGCGACCAACGTCGCAGGCTCGACAAAAATAAAATTTTACGGTTTACGGTTTCAGTGATATTGATTTTGCTGTAACACGCGAATAATAATAATAATAATAATATTCTTGTGATATTTTACAATCATCGGAGAAAAAATATGGTATGAAAGAAACGGAAATCTGATCTTTTGCACACAAAATGTAACGTTGGACATTACGTTTTTGCGTAAAAATGGGATAATTAAGTGTAAAATTTTTGGTATTTTAAATCCTGGTTCCTATTTTTCTTAATTTTCAAGTCTATTGTAATGAATTCAACCAGAAATCACTATATTTTTATCGAACTGACGAGTCTAAGTATTTATTTTTGTGATAATCTATAGAAAAAATGGAAATCGTACCAACATCGTGCGCAATGTCATTGGAGTTCCTGAGAAAAATTTGACGAAAATATTCATGGGACAGACAGACTGACAACAACAACAACAACAACAATACTTTATTATAAGAGGGTTACACAGTTAGCTATAATCTTCCTGATGACCTCATCATAAAAAATCATAAACAAAATGCAAACATATACATGGCATACATTAGTATAAAAGTCAAGTATGATAATAATGTGCAATTATACAACTTGATAAAATGTTAGGAAAAAATAAACGTGATGACATAATCAGTTTTCAATATTTTTTCAACAGGTTGATTTCAATAAATGATATGCTATTTTGTATTTGAAAGAATTAACATTTGTAATATTTCTTAACGGTATTGGCAAATTATTCCACTAGAATGGTCTAGAATGTACATAAAAGATTTTTTGAACAATTCTATTTTTGGTTTAGGGAGTATAAGGTTTCCTTGAACAGCATTTCTCAAGGGGTATGGATTTCTGTCTGAAACATAATGAAACTTGTTAATAAGATATGATGGGGCATCATTTTTGATGCACTTAAATGTCATCACAAACTTGTGATATTTTATTCTCTGTTCAACTGTCATCCAGTTTAAGTGTTTGAATAAGGGCACAGAAGATGTGAAAGGGTCTGTTTCTAGTATTAATCTAGCAGCTCTCTTTTGTAATTTTAATATCCTATTTAAACCCTCACTGCTACAACTACTCCAAACTATACAACAATAATTAATTAGTGGCAAGATATAACCATTATAGAATAATTTTCTGCAGTCTTGATTTAGAAATTTTTTAATCTTTAATAGTAGATATAGCCTAGATGAAATTTTTGAGCAGATCAAATCAATTTGGTTTGTCAATGTGAGGGATTCGGGTCAATTTTAATGCCTAAGAGACTTTCCCATATGGAAGATTGTATCACTTGATTGTTAATACTTAAACAACTCTCACTGTAATGTGGCATTGCTTTTTGCTTAGTTCCAATAATCATATATTTTGTTTTATTTTTATTGATGAACATATTGTTATCATTACTGTCACCATTCCTCAACACCATGCAAATCTTCTTGTACCTTTGACTGCCGAGTTTGATAACAACTACCAGAAAGATGTAAAGTTGAATCATCAGCATATAAATCAGTGCAACAATTTTTCATATAGATAGGAAGGTCGTTTATGTATAATATAAACAGAAGGGGCCCTAATATGGAGCCTTGGGGGACCCCATACTTGATATAAAGTTTTTCGGAATGAGCATTACCAATTTGTATACTTGTTGAGTTCTTACATTCAAATAGGATTTAAAAAAAGAAACAGCAGCATTATCAAATCCATAAATTTCAAGTTTTTTACAAAGAATATCATGATCTACTACATCAAAAGCTTTCTTAAAATCCAACAGGACTGCTAAGTTGATGTTACCGTCATTCATATCCTGTACCCATTTATCTATGATATTGATTAGGGCATTTTAGCAAGAGTGTTCTTGTCGAAAGATCTAATCTTTTTAGATAGTCATACAAATGTTTTGAAACATGCTTTTCTAAAAGTTTTGATAAAACAGGAAGTACAGAAATTGGCCTATAATTTGTTGCCATGAATTTTTCCCCAGCTTTAAAAACAGGAGTTACTCTTGCATTCTTTAGAACACTGGATAATGTACTTGTTTCTATTATTCTGTTAAAAATGTAAGTTAAAGATGAAGTTATGAAGTGAGCACTCAATTTAAAAATTTTTGGTCCTATGTTATCAGATCCGGTGGATTTATTAATGTCAAGTTTGATCATCTCATTAAATAGATCATTTATTGTGACTGGTGGAATTGAAAATTTTACTTGTTTTGACTTATATTTTTAGTAAATTTGTTTTGTATAAATTGAGTTAATTTTGCATAATCATGATTATGGATGGACGGATAGACAGAGGAAAAACAGTATACCTGCACTTTTTTAAGCAGAGGTATAAAAAATATTAGGCAGTGGGATAAAAAAAATGTATAAGCTAATTTGCAATAATTTAGTGTGTTGGTAATAAAGGACATTAATATTCCAGCAAAATGACCAGCAGAGAGAAACATGAATACCATAGAAGGAATAAAGATACATACTGTTAGTACAAGTTCCACCCTTGTTGTAATATCCACTGTTACATGCACATTTGTGATTACCAGAAACCAGTACACATGTTGACATGGCATCTTTACATTGATCTGATGGACCACCATTAATACATACTACATCAACATTTATCTCTGAAATAAAGATTACAAAGAAATCAATATCCACTTATTCTAAATGACTTTTTATATGAACTTCTTTATGTCAAATGCTGGTATTATGTTATAAGAAAACAAATTATCTAAATATCATGTTCTTCAATAAGACATATATTTGAAATTTACCACTTTAACATTCGTGATTTACAACAAATTAAAGTACAAAATGTATGGTTGTCTTCATCAATGGTAGTTGTTCAATTGTTGAACTTCAAGCAAGAAATTTGATACCTGAGGGACTTAAAATCTAACTTTTCGAAAGGTGCCAGCTTGGAGCCTTGGACCCCAAAATATTTTTGTCAGGAGCCCAGTTGTAATTTTAGGTGCCCAACCAATTTTCATACTAATAAAATAAAACTTAAATGTACTTTTTATATACTATGTAATTAGCCATTTTAGGTATTCTAATATGTAGCTTTTGACTCTGGTTAAAAGATTAGGTATGTTGATTTTGATGATATTTAAATTATTACCACCAGAGACATATTATAAGATTTGACTATACTGATTTTAGTATTTTTCCAAGCAACAGTGTCTCCCTTTAATTTGAACTTCCTGTTGTTAGTGTTGACATCTTGCAATAGGATCCCAGTTACAGGATACCAGTCCAGTACCCCAAATGAAGTCCCTCAATAAATCTACCATCTTTTAAATGGGATATTGTACTGACATGAAAATTATGTAAAGATGCTTAAATTTGTATTATATCTAAAGGGTATTCATTAAACTTTCAACTTCTGCTAAATTTTAACTCTAAAACACGATTTTGTGAAAATCTACACGAAAAAAAATTGGGTCGCTGTAAAGTGAGAAACGGAACAGAAACGAAACAGATTGAAACGAAACGAAACATGGCGAAACGAAACGAAACACAGCCTAAACAAAAAGAAACTTGGCAAAACGAAACGGAACAAAATCTGTATTTTGAGGAACGACCCAAACAAAATCTTCCTGACAAGATAGTGTTATATAATGTGTATATGTGCATAGCCAAAGATCAATTAGGACAGTTTAGAGGACCTTTTTAATCGAAGAAATCTAATTGTTTGCTTAAAAATCGTAAAAAAAAATCCTCGGTGGTATGTTTATCTTTTGGGAAAATTACGCCTCCTCCGTTCTTTACACCCTTGATCTGTCTCTGCTTTTTTACAAAAGATCTGATTTAAACACAAGATAATGTGTGCATAACTACACGATTAACGGTATATTCGAAAACACATTACATACTGGGCTTAATTTTACTGATTGCCGCACTAGAAACAATGCATTACATACCAGTTCTATTGTACTTTGTATTTTGTTTGTCAATGCTTTATAGTCCCATATGTTGTTAGGGAGCTACCATTTGATTTTTAGGGGGCTAGGATGAAATTTGAAAAAAAAGGCAGGACAGGAGTTTTGAGAAAAAAAATAGGCAGGATGAACAATTTGGCAAAAAAATAGGCAGGATGACAATTTATGTAAAAAAAGTCAGGATAAACTAATAATAAAATGCTTCGCCGAGCGCAGCCTGATACGACCGCAGAGGTTGAACCCTGAACAGTTGGTGCAAGTTTGGACACAATATTCAAGCTTGATACTGTGATCAAATTTTTGACATTATATAGGTTTCTGACACAAAATAAATGTGGTGAAAGATCTAAAAATTTGAAATGGGTTAAATAATTTGTATGAAATTTCAATTGAAGATTTCTTGCTATTGTGCAATACTGTGATATTGTGCAATACTTTGCAAAAGAAGATTTCTTGCTATTGAGCAATACTGTGCAATTGATGATTTCTTGCTATTGCCCAATACTGTGCAATTGGTGATTTCTTGCTATTGCACAATACTGTGCAATTGGATATTTCTTACTATTGCACAATACTGTGCTATTTGCGCAATACTATGAAATTGTTTGAAGATTTCTTACTATTGCACAATACTGTGCTGTTATACTGCGCTATTGCGCAATACTGTGCAAAAGAAGATTTCTTGCTATTGCACAATACTGTGCAATTGATGATTTCTTGTTATTGCGCAAGTACTGTGCAATTGGATATTTCTTACTATTGTGCAATACTGTGCAATTGAAGATTGCTTGATATTGCACAATACTGTGCAATTGAAGATTTCTTGCTATTGCGCAATACTGTGCAATTGAAGATTTCTTGCTATTGTGCAATACTGTGCAATTGAAGATTTCTTGCTATTGCACAATACTGTGCTATTGTGCAATACTGTGCTATTGCGCAATACTATGCAATTGAAGATTTCTTGCTATTGCACAGTACTGTGCTATTGCACAATACATAATATAATAATTTACACATCCTGTTTGGTGTGTATCTCCTGCAATATCAGTATTTTTTTGCTTTTATATATAAATCAGAAATAATCAATGTAAAAATGGAAAATTTTAAGGAAAAAAAACAAAAAAATTATAAAAAATAAATGGGGAATGTGTCCATGGGACACAGATGATGCCCCCGCTTGCATTCAGCAATTTTTCCATTTGTAAAGGGCATAACTCTTGAAAGGTAGAAGTGACGCCACCCAATTAAATTCAAACTTGATCTGTGTCTTGTGGTAATAATCATTGTGTATAAGTTTCATAACATTTGGTTGAGGCAAACTAAAGTTAGAGAACGGAAACAAATTTCAGGACGTACATACAGACAGACAAGGGAAAAACTTAATGCCCCCTCCCCTACGACGGGGGCATAAAAATCCCCCCCTCCAAATTTTTGAACCCCCTTTTGAGTGATTACCCCCAATCTCAATCCCAGCCTTTCCTTTGTGGTATGGTACCTTTCAGTACAATTTCAGAAAGATCCATACACTTAACACAAGTTATTGTCTGGAAACTAGAAAAATGCTTGTTTTTGGCCCCTTTTTGGCCCCTAATTCCTAAATTTTTGAGGCAATTACCCCCAAACTCAATACCAGCTTTCCATTTGTGATATGAAACCTTGTGGTACAATTTTAGAGAGATCCATACACTTACACACAAGTTATTGTCTGGAAACTAGAAAAATGCTTGTTTTTGGCCCCTTTTTGGCTCCTAATTCCTAAACTCTTGGGGCAATTATCCCCAAACTCAATCCCAGTTGGTTGACCAGCTTGCGACCTGGCGCCTCTCATGAAAGTATCTGTGACCTTTAAAATATTTAAACTGAGAAAAAACAAGCATTCTGAGAGTATTGCATGGCAATACAAAGTCCCCTACCGGGTAAAAATTCATTACATAGTCCCCTACCTGAGGTAAAAATTCATTATACTGGAACAAAATGCTAACTTATTCTATAACTTGTCATGGTGTAAACAAAAAGAAAATATCAAGTGAATATCTTCAAGCATGACTAAAAACAGTGTGGAAAACTGATTATATGAGTGAATTTTTCAAGTCCAAGGACCATAACTCTGAATAAAATTATCAGACCAAAACATAAATTTGAACTTGATCTGTAACTTGTCATGATAAAACTATATACCAATTATCAATCAATATCTTCAAGCATGAAGAAAAAAAGTGTGGAAAACACTCTAACATTAGATATGATTAATAGTTCTCTTAAATTATACATGATGTAATACAATGTATATCTATTTTCAAATTATAATCAAATATAATTAATAGTTCCAAATATTTTTCTTTCATTTGTCACAAACTAATTTAGATTTGTAACTTATCTATAAAATGTCAACAACTTTTATCTATACACAATGAAATGTAATGAAATATATACCTTAATAAAAATAGATTATTATCTAATTAAAGGATTTCACTTCATAAAAAAAATTTATATAAATATCATTCAGAAAATTAGTTTATACAAAATAACATACACTTCAAACAATTTACCAAAGAATGTCTTTAAAAAAATGAGTTATCTCCCTTTGTACAGAAATATGGTTTAACATACAAAATGTAGTACTCTAACATTAGATATGGACCATGATAACTCTGGACTAAATCATCAGACCGGAACAAAATTCGAACTTGATCTATAACTTGTCATCATAAAACTATTTACCAATTATCAAATCAATATCTTCAAGAACGAAGAAAAAATGTGTGGAAAACTGATTTGCCGGACTGACGGATGGACAGACGGACGGACGGACGGACAGATGGACGGAGTGCAAACCTAAAGTTTAGTTTGCTTAAAAGTTACCTGGTGACCCAAGGCAATTTTTAATGGTGACCTTGTGACCTAAGGTGGGTTTCCTACTGGAGCACCTTTTTCTCATTTTTTCATACTATATTGTATGTACGACTCTTCAGTTTCTACTCTTTTAATTTAAACTAAACCAAGACCATGCAAATACATTTTATTATACTTCACGTTAAAATGCCAGATTTTGATTGGCTAATACGAGGGAGTTAATTTACTCTATCTCATGGCTGTGAGGGAGACATTTCTTTTGAATGGCACTCTCTCGTGCAGACCAATAAGAAATCGACAATTTAAAGGACAATGAATTGAACTGACATGGAAGTACCGGTACACCACTAATTCATGGCCCCATTGCTTTCTATGTTAAATTCCCCAATTTCAAGCAGGCACAGCTCTTTTGTTTCAAGTTCAAATAAAGTGACAATCATTGCATGTCAAAGCAACACTTTATGGTGCCTTGTACTGAAAAAGTCAACATACCTTTAATGGCATATAAAGAAGAACTGGTTCCCGGAACTTCAGATATACCAAAACAGGTACTTCAGATCTGACAAACAGGCAAATGTACCCTCTTTTTTAAATTTCATGCAATTTTTTTATTTTTCAAAATTATAAGTCAAACAGTGTTCTACAATGATCACCAGTCGTTCAGCTTTCATTTGATACCAAAATTACCTAAATATTCTACATACTTTGAAAGTTACACCCATGCGTAAGAACTATTTTGTGTTAAATATGTACCCCGGTACTACTTTCTGGTATGTGCTTTCTGGCCGGGCCCGAAATTAGTGGTGTTACACCTATAATAGAAACCAACCTTGCTGTATTGACTTCAACATTACTTTATTTCATTCTATGATCTATTTCAAGCAATAAAAAACATATAAGGCTTTAGTCCAAACAATATTTTATTGATTTAAAGCTCAAATTGGACTGGTAGTAACATATGGGTTATGCAAAGAAAACTGCATATGGATATTACCAATGGCCAATATGATTTTTTTATTCTCAATATCATGCTTCTAATTGTTAATTTCTACTAGGAAAGCAATGTGCTTACCAATAGTCATATTTTTATCAGAGGTTGTTCATATAATAAAAATATATTAGTTCAGACCTAAGACATAATTAAGAATATTGTCCCCCCTTTTTTCTTCAAATTGGAAAAGGGACATTTTTGGTATAAACCATACTTCTGTGGTACAACATAGCTAGATTATTTAGAGCAATTTATATATCCCTCAGCTGGATAACTTGCTAAACTGGTTCAAAATTTCATGTTCAGTGAGATTTTTGAATTCTTATATGAGTATATACCAATTGCCTAGATTGTAAAAGACTACCATAAGAAAACCAATAAAACTTGAAAAATCATAGGATTATTTGACCAGGAGCTTTTTTTTTACCATAAACAAGTCATAATATACATGTTTTACTGATTTCAATCCCAAATAATGTAAAAATAAGAATTTGGAGTCAAGTCTTAACTGCATGCATGTTGTATGACCATAAAAGGCTAAAGTACCTTATTGTGTCAATTTAAGAGCTGAAATTTCCCATAAACAGAATTGTTCATAAAAAAAAGTTGATTACACATGATTACTGCATGACATCAAATATGACCAATTTTCATTGGAATATTTACAACTTATAAAAATTAAATTTCTGATGATTCTCTGTAATAGGAAGTACACCACTAATTCATGGCCCCATTGCTTTCTATGTTAAATTCCCCAATTTCAAGCAGGCACAGCTCTTTTGTTTCAAGTTCAAATAAAGTGACAATCATTGCATGTCAAAGAAACACTTTATGGTGCCTTGTACTGAAAAAATCAACATACCTTTAATGGCATATAAGAAAGAACTGGTTCCCGGAACTTCAGATATACCAAAACAGGTACTTCAGATCTGACAAACATGCAAAATGTACCCTCTTTTTAAAATTTCATGCAATTTTTTTATTTTTCAAAATCATAAGTCAAACAGTGTTCTACAATGATCACCAGTCATTCAGCTTTCATTTGATACCATTGAATCATAATTTCCTGTCAATATGCACATCTACATAGTATGTCCTTATTATCTACACAGTTTCATGAAATTCTGTTGTGTGGTTTGAGAGGAGTTGCGATGACAAAAGGTTGCAGTAGTATATTGGGCAAATAAGTTAAAAGGGGCGTAACTCCTGGAAAAAAATAGAAATGTATTTCCTGTCGATATGCACATCTATGTAGTATGTCCTTATTATCTGAAAAGGTTTCATGAAATTCTGTTGTGTGGTTTGAGAGGAGTTGCGATGACAAAAGGTTGCAGTAGTACATTAAAGTAAATAAGTTCAAAGGGGCGTAACTCCTGGAAATAAAATTGAATCCTAATTTCCTGTCGATATGCACATCTACGTAGTATGTCCTTATTATCTGAAAAGGTTTCATGAAATACTGTTGTGTGGTTTGAGAGGAGTTGCGATGACAAACTGTTGCAGTAGTACATTAAAGTAAATAAGTTCAAAGGGGCGTAACTCCTAGAAAAATAATTGAATCGTAATTTCCTGTCGATATGCACATCTACGTAGTATGTCCTTATTATCTGAAAAGGTTTCATGAAATTCTGTTGTGTGGTTTGAGAGGAGTTGTGATGACAAAAGGTTGCAGTAGTATATTGGGCAAATAAGTTCAAAGAGGCGTAACTCCTGGAAAAAAATTGAACCGTATTTCCTGTCGATATGCACATCTACGTAGTATGTCCTTATTATCTGAAAAGGTTTCATGAAATTCTGTTGTGTGGTTTGAGAGGAGTTGTGATGACAAAAGGTTGCAGTAGTATATTGGGCAAATAAGTTCAAAGAGGCGTAACTCCTGGAAAAAAATTGAACCGTATTTCCTGTCGATATGCACATCTACGTAGTATGTCCTTATTATCTGAAAAGGTTTCATGAAATTCTGTTGTGTGGTTTGAGAGGAGTTGCGATGACAAAAGGTTGCAGTAGTACATTAAAGTAAATAAGTTCAAAGGGGCGTAACTCCTGGAAAAAAAATTGAATCCTAATTTCCTGTCGATATGCACATCTACGTAGTATGTCCTTATTATCTGAAAAGGTTTCATGAAATTCTGTTGTGTGGTTTGAGAGGAGTTGTGATGACAAAAGGTTGCAGTAGTATATTGGGCAAATAAGTTCAAAGAGGCGTAACTCCTGGAAAAAAATTGAACCGTATTTCCTGTCGATATGCACATCTACGTAGTATGTCCTTATTATCTGAAAAGGTTTCATGAAATTCTGTTGTGTGGTTTGAGAGGAGTTGCGATGACAAAAGGTTGCAGTAGTACATTAAAGTAAATAAGTTCAAAGGGGCGTAACTCCTGGAAAAAAAATTGAATCCTAATTTCCTGTCGATATGCACATCTACGTAGTATGTCCTTATTATCTGAAAAGGTTTCATGAAATTCTGTTGTGTGGTTTGAGAGGAGTTGTGATGACAAAAGGTTGCAGTAGTATATTGGGCAAATAAGTTCAAAGAGGCGTAACTCCTGGAAAAAAATTGAACCGTATTTCCTGTCGATATGCACATCTACGTAGTATGTCCTTATTATCTGAAAAGGTTTCATGAAATTCTGTTGTGTGGTTTGAGAGGAGTTGTGATGACAAAAGGTTGCAGTAGTATATTGGGCAAATAAGTTCAAAGAGGCGTAACTCCTGGAAAAAAATTGAACCGTATTTCCTGTCGATATGCACATCTACGTAGTATGTCCTTATTATCTGAAAAGGTTTCATGAAATTCTGTTGTGTGGTTTGAGAGGAGTTGCGATGACAAAAGGTTGCAGTAGTACATTAAAGTAAATAAGTTCAAAGGGGCGTAACTCCTGGAAAAAAAATTGAATCCTAATTTCCTGTCGATATGCACATCTACGTAGTATGTCCTTATTATCTGAAAAGGTTTCATAAAATACTGTTGTGTGGTTTGAGAGGAGTTGCGATGACAAACTGTTGCAGTAGTACATTAAGGTAAATAAGTTCAAAGGGGCGTAACTCCTAGAAAAATAATTGAATCGTAATTTCCTGTAGATATGCACAACGACATAGTATGTCCTTATTATCTAAAAAGGTTTCGTGAAATTCTGTTGTGTGGTTTGAGAGGAGTTGCGATGACAAGAAACAGGACTGACGGACGGACTGACGGACGGACAGACTGACAGACAGACGTTTGGCCAGACGGACGGACAGACAGATGGACGGGTCAAAAACATTAAACCGTCCGCAACTCGTTGCGTGGGGTATAATTACCTAAATATTCTACATATTTTGAAAGTTACACCCATGCGTAGGAACTATTTTGTGTTAAATATGTACTACTTTCTGGTATGTGCTTTCTGGCCGGGCCCGAATTAGTGATGTTACACCACATCTAGTAATTAAAGACCATGCTTTAGTTCTACGTTTTGGCTCAGAACTTAAAATAAATTAAAAAAAAACATCTTTCTTCCCTTCTGTTTTTTTTTCTAATACCTGTAACTTTGTTATGTACGTGACGTCATAGTAAAAAACTTTGATTAAAATTTGAACTGAAAAAGACAATTACCGGTATGATAGAACTTTCAATATAATAAATTTAATAACACATAGCTGAGAGGGTAATAGAGCAGATTGGTACCCCTCGAAAAGGCATTGTCAACCTTGGCTTCGTCTCGGTTGACAATATTTTCTTGGGGTAACAATCTGCTCTATTACCTTCTCAGCTATGTGTTATTCATATAGTGTTTTGTTGTTTGCCATTTATCTTGACAGACACATGTTACTATCTTGTATCTACCACATTTTCAAAAGAGAACCTACGAAGTAGGTACAGCATCTCCATAAAGTTGAAGTCGATGATACCTGTTGCAAGTAGTTTAAAAGGTTAATATGAATTGAACTTGTAACGAGATTATGTCTTGCTTGCTTTGCCACAAAATAAAAACAACACAAAGCCTTAATATTTGAACAGGCTCTGTAGCATAGCTGGTGCACCTAAGCCTCATATTCAACAAAAACCTGTTCCTTTTCTGAAATCGGACTCAGACTTCTTTTAATCTGAGTTTTACTGTCCGTATTGCTGTGTGTTTGTTTATTTTACATTGGCTAGAAGTATAGGGGAGGGCCGAGATCTCACAAAACATGAGCAACCCCGCCGCATTTTTGTGCCTGTCCCAAGTCAGAAGCCTCTGGCCTTTGTTAGTCTTGTATTTTTTTTATTTTAGTTTATTTATATGTTTTGGAGTTTAGTATGACGTCCATTTCCACCGAACTTAAGTACACATTTTTATTTAGGGGCGAGCTAAAGCCCAGGCTCCGGTCGCAGGATTTTTTCGCTGTGTTGAGGACCTATTGGTGGCCTTTGGCTGTTTTCTGCTCTTTGGTCAGGTTGTTGTCTCTTTGACATGTTCCCCATTTCTATTCTCAATTTTATATTTATCTTACATTGATTATTTGGTTGATATCTACTACATATAAGGATCGATTAAACAATGTATAAACTTTGGTCAAAATTGGATGCAGAACTATTATGACTATAGCACTATTGTGAACTAATAAAAAGAGATGTGGGGTTATGTCAATGACTGATAGGAACCTAAGTTTGTTATTGTGCTAGATAGAAATAATCCTGTCACTTAACACATCACCTGAACATTTCGTGTGTTCAAGCCATTGCGAAGAACAAAGTTTGGTTTGACTAGGAATAAAGGAAAGATTGTGCCTCTAAAAACGTAAGCCAAAGACATATATCTACATATTTTCACAGTCTGGTATATACACTCTAGAAGGGACTTTTCAAGACCAAATCATTATCAATGAATAATTTTACGCATTATGTGCAATATTGAAGACCCTATTGTGGCGTTGCCTTTTATAGCTAGCGTTATTATAGATTTAAGTGCTTTTCATGCATTGGTTTTTATTCATAAAATTGAGAATAGAATCAGTATGTTTAGTTTTTTCATCTATTGGTTGATGTTAAAAGGAGGAGACCTCAGATCTCAACACTAGTGTAGCCCCGCTACATAAGCATTTGCATGTTCAAAGCCCAAAACCTCGTCAGTGGTTGTCCTACAACAACGTAATATCTTAATTGATTTTTGTTATGTACAGAATTTAGTGTTGACAGCAGAAGTAGTTTCTGTTCGATTTATCATCAACTATTATAGACTCTTAGTAGTTTGGAGCTTGACACATACCTATTGTTGAAGAAGTCTTTTTGGTTGTTTTTACTGTAGGGATGCTGTCGGCTTGATATATACCCCACACCTCCTTTTGATCTTAGTCTTGAATGTGTAAATGATGGACATTGATGGCAAGTATTGGCAATAACTGATATACCTTTTAGTCAGAGTGAGGAGCTCACAAAGGCTTGCCCCATCTAAAAACACAGAGATATTATACCAAATTCCCCTGCCATCATAGGAACTGGATATCTTGGAAATATTCAAATCTTTGATTTGATCATACTTTCATTTTATTGAAACATTGCAATAGTTTCCAGTGTAGTCTGTAAAAAACTAGACTACCATGAGCGGCCGGGTTTGTTATTATACATGAATAAAAACTGCATCCACCGGACTTAGGGTTAAAAAGAGAATGTATAAATTATCGAATATGAATGATATCCAGGAAGGAGGGTGGAGGTAAAAGCATTAAATCCTTACTAAAATGTCACATTGAATTTGAAGTTGTGACATCTTTTGTGCTAAATACACGAGGATATAAACTCAAATTGAAATAAATACTCAATTTTAAACAATTGATTGCACACTGCATTAAAGCTGTTTTTTTTGCATATTTTTGCATTTTATTTAATCTTGTGCCGTTACACAACCATCTTATAGAAAAATATTTTAATCCCGCCATATCTTTTAAAATGTGTCTTTCCCAAGTCAAGAGCCTGTAATTCAGTGGTTGTGTTTGGTTGCTGTCTGTCATATTTCACGGGTTATCTTGTATGGCTAAGTCATAAATCAGTAAATTGGTTTTCAAGTTTAAATTGTTTCACATTTGTAATGTCTGGTGCTTTAATTATCGACTAGACAGTTTGGGTTTTGCTAATTTTTGATTGCCTTACGGTGACCTATCGTTGCTTACATTCACTTAGACTCTAATGAACAGTTTTCTCATTAGCAATCATACCACATCTCAGGCATTATTATAGAAATAAAATAAATATTTCCAATCTACTCATTTTATGTCCCCTTTCCCCCTAAAATAACGTTTAAAATTTACGGGTTTTCCTTCCAACCTTCTCTGTCAAATGCTTTCAGTGAGCTGCAGTGGCGGATCCAGGGGGAGGGGGGTCCCGGGGTTGGAACTCCCCTTTTTTTTTGGACGATCAATATATTTCAATGGGGAAATATAGTTAGAACCTCCCCTTTTATCCTGGGTAAGGTACCCCCTTTTAAAAATGGCTGGATCAGCGCCTGAGCTGACGTTCCAGTTGAAAAATCAAATGGATAAAACATATAAGCTGATTATGCTCTCCTTTAAATGACTCTTTGATCTATTATTGGCGGCGGAGTTAAAGGTAAAATAAATTGCTTCTCCGAGCCCCTTTTTGGCCCCTAATTCCTAAACTGTTGGGACCATAACCCCTAAAATCAATCCCAACCTTCCTTTTGTGGTCATAAACCTTGTGTTTAAATTTCATAGATTTCTATTTACTTATACTAAAGTTATTGTACAAAAACCAAATGTCTTCGGATGACGCAGACGATGACGACGATGACATGATACCAATATATGACCGCAAAATTTTTTGCAGTAGTATAAAAACCTTGGAATTCACGCTTCAATATTCTTTGATGTGTTCTAAAAAAATTTGGAAAGAAGTAACCATTTGGAACACCAAAAACATTACATGCAATAGACTATTTTCATATTACCGACTTTTGACTCCGGATTATATAATTTGTCGACTGGTTACCTTGGACATCATGGTACTCGGTCAAGTATAGGCAGCCAAAATAAGAAAAATCAAACATATAATTGGAGTAACTTGAGGGGAAAGTTTACTGTTTTCAGATGATTTTGTAGTGAAAAAAAAATATTAACCAGGTAATTTTCCCCAAAAATTGTACCAATTGAAAGCTTGGTTTAACTTCTTTAGCTTGCTCTTACCTGACTTGGTACCATGATGTCCAAGGTAACCAGTCGACAAATTATATAATCCGGAGTCAAAAGTCGGTAATATGAAAATAGTCTATTGTCTAATTTACAAAATATATGATAAGGACATCAACTGTCAAAGCTAGGCATTCACTATTTTTAAAAATCAGTTCCTCAAAATACAGATTTTGTTCCGTTTCGTTGTGTTTCGTTTCTCAATTTACATGTTTTGTTTCATTTCACCGTGTTTCGTTTTGTTTTGCTGCGTTTCGTTTCATTTCGTTTCGCCATGTTTCCATGTTTCGTTTCATTTTGCTCTGTTCTGTTTCCCACTTTACAGGGACCCCAAAAAATTATTGTTCCCGATTTCGAACTGTTCCCAAGGGAAGACAATTGTAATCAGCCAATCAAAGTCCGTGTTTCTCATGATCAAATAAATAAGCCAATCAAAATCGTTTTCTCTCATGATTATTTGGACATGCTTAATTTTGAACTTGTTTGGATTCCTCTGTGTGTTTGTCAGAATTGTAAAATTGTGAATACGACAGGTGAATTTTCATCTGCAAGAAGGTTCTTACACAGATTTAGAAGAAAAACATGGCTGATTGACAAAATTTAATGATGTAGTACTACCATTTATAAACATAATAAATAGTAGCTTACTGTTACATATCATACACTACAGTGTTGTCATTCTTGTAATTAAATTACAAAATATTTAAGGTACAATGTACGATGCTTTATTTTTCACAAGGACCGTATAAATGTCCTTCTTTGTACATAATTTTAAATTGGAAAAGTCAACAATCATTAAATATTCTTACACAAAAGATATATCCTGGTATTCTAGCTACATGTTCATCTTTTCTACTGATAAACTTACTAAGATCATGCAAATAAAAAGAAGATATACTGTATAAAAAAAACCATAACATATGGCTTTTTTCTAGAGCACAAAACAGTACATGCAAAAAACGCCACAAAGAATAGTAACCTTTGAAAAGTGTTGTCCCACACTAAAAACCCCATGGGGATTTTCAAAAGTTGGCAGGTATGATTTAAGTAAAAGGGGAAATAATTGGGTCCCCATTCCGGCTTTTTCTATGAATCCTTAAATGCTATTTCAAATCCAAGCTATTCTCAGATAGTGTTGATCAAAATACTATTCAACTACTTTTTATTGAAGATAAGACAGCAAACTAGATATTTCGATAATTATTTAAGAGATTTTGTGTTTCGTTTTTTCATTGAAGTTTTTTTGTAAATAGAGAATCGTGGACACAGTCTTGTAATGACTTCCTAGACAACTGCAAGGCATCTCTGAAGTAATGCAGATTCAATTAAAGAACCTTAGTGAGCGCGCTCACATACCCCACATCCCCACATTGTCACTGGCGAAATAAAATAACAGTAAGAAAAAAAAATTGTATAAGAAAAAAAAATTTAATCATAATTTCCTGTCGATATGCACATCTACGTAGTATGTCCTTATTATCTACAAAGTTTCATGAAATTCTGTTGTGTGGTTTCGGAGGAGTTGCGATGACAAACTGTTGCAGTAGTATATTGAAGCAAACAAGTTCAAAGGGGCATAACTCCTAGAAAAAATTGAATCGTAATTTCCTGTCGATATGCACATTTGCATAGTATGTCCTTATTATCTGAAAAGGTTTCATGAAATTCTGTTGTGTGGTTTGAGAGGAGTTGCAATGACAAAAGGTTGCAGTAGTATATTGGGCAAATAAGTTCAAAGGGGCGTAACTCCTGGGAAAAAAATTGATTCGTAAATTCCTGTCGATATGCATATCTACATAGTATGTCCTTATTATCTGAAAAGGTTTCATGAAATTCTGTTGTGTGGTTTGAAAGGAGTTGCGATGACAAGAAACAGGACTGACGGACTGACGGACAGACAAACGGACAGACGGACGGACGGGTCAAAAACATTATACCCTCGCAAAAAATTTGCATGGGGTATAATAATTAATCGTAGAAGCTTCTAAAGAGAGATAAGAGCATGTGTTAAGAGAAGGGGTATATGTCAAATCGTGACTTTGAATCGAAAAATTACTTGAATTAGTTGTCTGACCGACTTTTGATTATTAAAAGAAACTATCAGCTGGTTTCCAGAAATTCTCTCTTTTTTAATAAATTTTCCCCCTTTGATCAACAATTAGGTATCCGTTTGGGGACAGTTTTATATTGCAGGGGAAAGGATCAAAATGGATTTCATTGCAAAATATTATACAGTCGTCAGATGCATATGGTTAATAAGGATGATAAAATATATTTGCCAAGCCGATAATATGGTAGACTTGGATATAGAGTATCGCCAGTCTCCTCTATGTAGATGAATATGTCACATCAAATGCAAAATAATTTGTACCCTGTAAGTAAGCTGTAACAGTTATTGTAATTTTTAGTGTTAAAAACTTTTTTCAGAAGTGCTGTAGTTATGAATTCGCTGTTCATTGAAAATGTTGAAGTGTGTCTTACCCATTTAACCCAAATTCCAATACATTGTCAATAAAGCGTAAGTATGCCAATGATGTTTTCTCTGATTTTTCAAATAATGTTTTTTAACCATGCTACGAAATAAACTGTTATCACAGAGATATGTCTCGCTTTTTGGTAATTTCGATAATGCAAATGTTGAAATTAAAATAGCAACACTTTAACATGTGAGATTTGCAAATATTCAAAGTCAATGAACCATGACTGAAGATACATGGCTAAACAATCTCCATGGAAATGAGATGTGTCAATGCTAATACAACGCATACCAAATACCATTGACCTATCATATATAAGTAGTTCCCTTTTAAACAAACCTAAACACAATCTTATACATGTAAACTAAGCAAAATTTCAAAGTCAATAAACCATAACTGAGGAGGTGGGGTCAAATAATCTCAATGGTAATGACATGTACCCATGCTAATACAACTGCACACCAAATATCATTGACCTACATGTACCACTAGTGGTTCCCCATAAACCGACCTAATCACAAACTAAAACATGAAAACTAAGCAAAAGTTTCAAAGTCAATAGACCATGACTGAGGGGGCGGGGCCAAATAATCTCTGTGAAAATGAGATATGCCAATGCTTATACAACTGCATACCAATTATCATTAACTTACTACTAGTGGTTACCCATTAACTGACCTAATCACAAACTAATACATGAAAACTAAGCAAAAATTTCAAAGTCAATAGACCATGACTGAGGGGCGGGGACAAATAATCTCTATGGAGATGAGATATGCCAATGCTTATACAACTGCATACCAATTATAATTAACTTACCACTAGTGGTTCCCCATAAACTGACTAAATCACAAACTAATACATGAAAACTTAGCAAAATTTTCAAAGTCAATAGACCATAACTGAGGGGGCAGGGCCAAATAATCTCCATGGTAATGAGAAGTGCCAATACTAATACAACTGCATACCAAATATCTTTGACTTACCACTAGTGGTTCCCCACAAACTAGACCTAATCACAAACTAATACATTGTTGACGCCGCTGCCGCCGTCGTCCGAAACAGCATACCTATGTCTCGCTTTTTCACTCTGTCAAACGAGACAAAAAAGGAGGCATAGTTCATACCTTAGTGTGAGCCTATCAGTGTTCTCCTTTTTTCACTAAGGTAAGGTGGGTGTTTTGAAAAAATCACTTGCAACCAGGTGGGTTTTTTTTTTACTGTGGGTGGGGGTTACAAAAAGAAGGAAACGTATTGTATTCACATAATGGAATTGAACAAAAATAAATAGATGTAGTCACATAAACTGCTTTAGTGCTGTATTTTTTGGCACACAGAACAGTAGTATCCTTCCTCTGTGACGATTAGCCATTTAAAGTTCTCTTCATATTTATCTTTGCTTGCGTGCCTTTTCCTTTGTTTTGTTGCTTTTTTTTTTCAATTTCTACAATTTCAATACAACTATCCGTTTTAGATGACTTATTTGGCCTTGAATTTTTCTTATCACCATCGTCATCTGCCTTTCTCTACCCACAGTTAATAAAAGAAAACATTGACATTTGGCATCGTATGGAAAATTGGGATAACAATCATCCTTAAAGGGCAATAACTCCTATAAATAAACTCATCATATTAGAGCGGGAGAACATACCAAAGGAATGTTTAAACTTATAAGTTGAGTCAAATGACAATTTTGTTGTCTTGCTGATCAATCAATTTTGCTATTTAAAGTTTCTCATATAATAACTCCTATTAGGAGCTGTCTGACAGTTTTGAAATATTTGTAGGTAGCTCCCAACATTGTGAATATTTCTGTTCCTTTCAAACCAATATTGAGATAATAGACAAAACTTGTATTTTACCCCTATGTTCTAATGCTTTATTTTTATAAATGCTTTGATCATGATCAGAATAAATTACCAATTATTTCCACAGTTGGTTTTCCCATGCTTATTACCTTCTTGTCCCATAAAAAATCAACAAAGAAATTTTAAATTACTTGATTTACAGCTTTTGTTGTCAGGATCCCAGTAATATGTTGCTACATCAGCACAGGTACATATGTTGTTAGACTGACAAACCAAATCTGAATACAAACAGCTGTCATCTATTCCATTCGTACATGCTCCATTATTGTCTCCCTCTGTCAAATATAAAATGAACTTAAAGGCAATTCATCAACATGAAGAAATCAATGGAATTGTATGTAAAAACTGCTGGGTGTAAGTTCGTTTGACCAACTTCATTTCCTGATATTATTTAATTTCATATCATTCACATATTGGTAATATATGGCCAACAATGTTAACAGTCCAAGAAATCTTCAAAAACTACAGAAATTTAAATGAGTCAGTAGAGAATATAGTCAAGAGTATAAATTCTACCAAGTGCAAACACATCTGGGAAAACTGTCTTTTGAGTTACATTCATTAACCTCTTTGGTACTGAAAGAAAGACAGTGTCCCTAGCAATATATAAACGGCATGTGGCAGGGGTTAATAAAAACTAAATTTTTTGTCATCAATTGTATATATCTCCTGGTTTGTCTTTTCTTTTATTTTTTATTCACTGCCGATGAACTTTTTAGCCTTTCTTTCTATTTTTATTTTTTTTTTAAATCTTTTTCCGTAACCCTAACCCTTACCCTAAACTATTGAGGGGTAAAAGTACAAGAGGCTCTCAAGAGCCTGAATCGCTAACCTGCAGTTTTGGCTTAAATCTTTTATCAATGATTATTTTTGCTTTATAATATATATTATACTGAGCAGTGGCTTACTAATGCCATTTAAAAATTTTCTTTGTATCTGTCCTATTTTCTCCAAAAGCAGAAAAATGCATTTTACCTCTATTTTCAAGTTTAGCCATAGTGGTTATGTTTCTTGACGTACAAGGAAATAAAATATAAAACTAATACAAGATACTCTGAAACTCATTTAGCCTAAGTTGGACTCAACTTGATCCAGCAGTTTCAAAGGAGAAGATTTTTAAAAGTTAAAAAACATGAAAAACATATTGTGTAAAATTTTCCTTCAAGGGCAATAACTCCTTAAGGGGTCAATTGACATTTTTGGTCATATAACACTTATTTGTAGATCTTACTTTGCTTAAAAAAAAATCTGTTTATAATTCATTATTCTTTGTTAATAAAAATATTCACTATAATAACCAACAAGAGTGCACACGCTAAAATGTCTCCCCTTCTTTACAAATCATTGATATTATGTTGATAGTCCTAAATATAAAGCTTTACTACAATTATCACATAAACTTAACAGGATCCATGAAAATGAGGTCAAGGTCATATAAAACAAACAAGAAATACATGTACACCTGACGCTGACTCAAACATTCAAAATTAACATAACATTCAATGTGTGAGTTAATCAGCCCAATTCACATATCAACATCTAAAAAAATTGTTTAAACCTATAATGAACCTTCAAGGTTTCACCTTATCAACATCATGATATATTCTTATGTGTTCTACTATAAAGGACATTACTAATTCACTGAAGTAAATAAGAATACTTTAATACTGAATGATACCTGTCATGGGTTTCAAGTTGATGTAAAAGATTAAAAATACATACTGATAGTACAAGTTCCACCATTGTTGTAATATCCACTGTTACATGTACATTTGTAGTTACCAGTAACCTGACTACATGTTGACTTGGAATCTTTACATTGATCTGATGGTCCACCATTAATACATGAAGCATCAACAATTATCTCTGAAATTAAAATTATAAAGAAATCAATATCAAATTCTTTTGAATTATTTTGTTTTCAATCTCATGGATATTATATACAAATATGTCCATATGTTTTGAAGTTATTATTCTATGAAACAAAAGTATCATTTATACTATGATTTGTCTGTCTATATGAGTTTATCTATTTTATATTCAGAAGTTCACAGGAAGAACTTTTTGTTTAAATAATTCATTTATCAAAACTGTATCGGTTAAATATATACTATTTAAAAAGAAGGGTTCACTTAAAATCTTTAATTCATGTGGATTGTAAACATGTAAACTTGCATCAATATATATACCCAAACAACCTCCAAGCTGAACTTTTGGAGAATGTTTATATATTTTGATGTGGAGTAAACTCTCAATATCTGTCAACTAAAAGGACAGTGACAAAAATTTAAGCAAACTGTTCAACTCAAAAGTCAATCAAGGAGAGACAACTCAGGGCTCGACATTACCGTTTGTCCGATTGTCCGGGACAAGTGGACACAGGCATCGGGCAAGTAGATTCACCATACAGTACTCTTAAGGACATACTGAGATTGATAACTTTGAGAGACATTGTTTCTGACATGACAGACACAAAAACCAGATGTGATCTCATGCTGTTCAGTAATTAAGGTTACCTGAATCAAGGAGCATGAATGATAAACTGTTAGATTACATAACCATGATAACTATAAAACCTTGTTTACAAATATGTTATCAGCTAATAATTTCAAATTTTGCTTCTTTTACAGGCACTAAAAAATATTATCCAAAGGGGAAGAAGAAAATAAATGATTCAATTATTTCAATAAAGAAACTGAGCTTTTTAACATGATATATGCTTTTTTAGTTTAATTTTATTCATTTTATTTCTTTTTATTTCTATTTTGTTTATTTGTTTTTTTACCTAATATTGTTTTACAGAATAAGGGTGCTCACATTAAATTATATCATATTCAGAATATAGAATAATAGGCAAAAAAAAATGATGTATAGAGTGAGAAAATCGTTCTAGCAAAAAAAAAGAATAGAGAATATTGGTGAACTAAAATATAGGTTTAGATGGGGAAATTAAGAATATTGAAACATGGGCCAAAAAAATATTTTAAGGTGTTCAATTATAAAGATTAAGACAAATTAAAGTTATGGAATAGAGAAGAATGACTTAAAGAATTATATATAATTACAGTAATATGTATCTGAAGACACGTGCACTCATCATACAACTTACAACATTTTAGACTCTTTTTGAATAATTTGGTAGTCCTTAAAAGGACTGTTTATTTATGACTCTGTTTTTCTGTTAAATCAGTATTTCACTGCTGCAAGTCTCTCTTTCACCACTTCTAAATCAAACTGATCATTAAAATAACTTAATGACCTCGACCTTGATCTCTCTCGTCTACCAATAAACACAGCCACTGGTAATACCTTGAAATTGTGGTCAATTAAAGTGTTGCATCGTTCAACAGTTAAGTCATTTTTCCAAAAATCCTTAATTCCACTGGTTAGATCATTTTTAATTGAAAGTTTTTTCTTATTTAACCGCTGCTTCATCATACTCCAAACCATTTCAATTGGATTAAAGTCTGGGCTTTCAGAAGGCCAAATATCCCACCAGTTAATTTGGTTTTCCTGCATAAACCTCTTACTAAGATTAGAACGATGTTTTGGGTCATTGTCTTGTTGAAATCTGTGCTGATCTGGATAAGTTTGTCTAATAAATGGCAAAAGTCCAAGTCGTAGTATAGTATTCACAAAGAAATCAGATTTTAGAATACCTTCAAAGATCAAAATTTGAGTGGTACCACGTCGGCTAATGCCTCCCCAAACGTGGACTTTCAGTGGATGCTTTGGCTTGGCAGTACAGGAGCAACGCAATCCTTTCTTCTGTATATATAGCAACTTTGTTATCGTGAAGTTGAACGATTGCCTCATCTGTGAATATGATATCGTCAAATTGTTCATTGACTGCTATAAGTTGCTTACAAAACTCAACTCTCTTTAATTTATTTGCTTCACGAATCATTTGTCCATAACGAGGTGTTGATGCAGTGTATCCGGCTGAATCTATCATTTTTCGAACAGTAGATTTACTTGTAATTGTGCCCTTGTCTGATAAACGACGCATAATGTCACTGCATGTTTGAGTTGGATTTTCATCAAGTGTAGATTTAACAAAATCAATATCTGCATCTGCAATACTTTTGAATGTCGGGATTTTCTTTCTTGACAAATGTTCATATCCAGCACGACCATGTTGGTACTTAATAATCACATTTTTAACAGCTCACCAAGAAATATCTATACCATCAGCGGACAACTTTCGTAATATGGCATGCACGGGCCATCCTTGTTGGTACAGAGTATAAATTTTCATATTGTCATGATGTGTTAGTTTGAATTTCGGCTTTTTGGGAATGATTTAATTTTTAGAAAAAATTTATTGTTTTTTATAGAAATAATAAAATTGAATGACATAATTGTGTGATAATTATTGTCAGCATGATTTTTAGGGTACCGGAAATGTATCATCTGACAGGAGACATTTAACAAACTTCAAATGTGTACACTAATAAATAAATGATGATTTTTTTTATGTGTATTCTTAATCTAGTTGTTCTCACATCGAAGATGGCACACTCGAAGTTTGTTAAATGTCTCCTGTCAGATGATACATTTCCGGTACCCTAAAAATCACGCTGACAATAATTATCACACAATTATGTCATTCAATTTTATTATTTCTATAAAAAAACAATTATACGGAAGTGTCAATTCAATATTTTAGTTATTCCCATGACAATTGTTTGTGTCAAAATATACGCATTAAAAAAACTTGTATCATCACACAACATCGCCAGTTAAGAAAAATGTCTTCAAGACTTCAGACTCGAGAAGCAAGTCATTTCCTGGTCGAGTTTGATGATGAAAATGCAAATTTGAGATTTTATGTATGTCCAAGATTCAAAATTATCATAGATGGACGTATTAGCATTGGTGAGAAATATCTTGTTCATTGGGGTGACAAAGATGGAGACAAAGATGAGGCAACAGTTTTAGAAAGTGGTGAATGGCTTGACATGAGGAGAAAAGAGCAAGAATGCAAAAAGAAGTTAGAGCAAACAACGGACTCGCCAAACGTATCTACAGAATCAGTTGAGACACCACCTTCAAATCCAGTCAGTGATGCTACTTTACCAAGTCCCATTGCTTTGACAAAGCCATTAAAAAGAAAAGGGAATACAAAACCTAAAGATGTTAAACGGAGTGTAAGTATTTTTTTAGATATTTTATTTTAAAATCTGTCTGGTTTATTTTGCATATGATTATTTTTTTCTTCTTCATATTTAATATGATCAAATGTTATCAAATATAAATAGAAAATAAAACTTGTTTATGAATACATGTAGTTCGATTGATTAGTTGGTTTAAATAAACAACGTTCACTTCACATTCTACACTCAGTAAATGACAATTTTTATTCTTTAAAAAAAGTTAATATAAAGTATTTTTTTTTAACGTATTTAATAGAATCTGTTTTGTAATATTTGCCACACGACAGTCACAAAATAACTTTCGACACCACACTAGAAGTAGTATTTTTTTTAGTTATACCCCATTCTACTGCATCTGTAAGTTGTCTTTAATATAATATATTTATATTTTGATTTTTTTTCAGAAACCAGAAGCATCACTTGTAGATATTGGAGATGGGAATAACGACCCATATTTATTTAGATCACCGACACCATCCCCTGAGCTTCCTCCTCATTTTATAGCACCAACATCGCCAATTGAGGAAGTGGCACCCGAACCTGAGCCGGAGTGTATAAATGGAAAGGACAAATCCCCAGTTCTAAAGACAAGACCAGCCTTTTCGTCAGACAATGACTTGGCAGAAATTTTAAAGCAAGTGGAAATTAACAATGCTCGTTCATCTCTGTTAGAACGCATGCTACTTAAACAGCAGGAGACCATCGAAAAGTTATTTGCTTTTGTGACTAGACATCTTCAACCCCAAGAGTCGGAAAATACACAAAGAATTTCTACAGCTCGTCGGTCACTCATAGATGCTGTTGAAAATGAAAGTGATGTACCGTCTCCGTTACCATCACATTCATCACGTTTGCCGGATATACCTTTAACTCCTACAACGTCTCACATTACAACACTTGAGCAAAGAAATACATTTTCGCCAACATTTGGATTTAACATGTCAACCCCGCCGATGAGACAAAGCCTTACTGTGCCGTACAGTTTATTTTCGGACATTCCAGAACAATTTTTGATCTCCGAGAACGATCTCTCAAGAGCTATCCACTCCTCTAAAGGACCAGGAAATTTTGCATGTCACATCATACCAATTCTGTTCCCAGAACTATTTACGTCCGTCAATCTAAGAACGATGTATACGTTTTACGGTGGAGGTAAACTAAATAAGAATCCCCTAAACAGACAGAAAAGGGAGTTTCTCAGAAGATACGTAGTTACAGTATTCCCAGAAGTCATGTGTGATAAAGCCTTCAATGAAAGAGTGCTCTCTAAAGTGAATCAGCTTTTAAGAAGACCGGTTCATCGAAAGTAATCAGGATAGAAAGAAGATTATTGACAAAACTGCTTAATAAATATATTTTATGTACATTGTACAACTTGATTAAATATCACATATTTCTGTCATTAAATTTGTCCGGATATTATTTATATTTATTTTCGAGTGTGAAAAATGATCTTGAAAGTTTGATAAAAAAAAAAAAACACTTATCTTTATCAAGTTGATCCTCTTTTGAATGGGGTTAGATGAGAACACGAAAATGGTATTTGTTTGTTTTTTATTTTGATTTCCTGTACATTTGTATTATAATATTAACTTCGGTATCAATAATAATCTGTTTTCAAGATATCAGCAATTTAATATCCATGTCCGTATAAGGACTTTTCAATCTACGGGCATGAATAGTTATAAAGGGGGTCATAGTTAATTTCTTTTTTTTTTCTAGTAATGAATAAAATATCGATTTTAGTGATACCTTTTATTTTAAGAATGAACTAGAAAGATAAAAATAATTATATCAACTGCCCACCAGAGTACCTGTGGTTTATTACATAATAAACCAAACAGACACACGATCTCGTCTTTCGGGTTATAAATGTCATTTAAAAGTAGCCTTCTTACAACAACTTGGTGTACACATATAATCCGATTTGTAAATCAACAAATATGCTACTTGAACTGTCTACTTTAGTTTTTTTTGTGGCAAATAAATACACAAGAAATAACTTCCCATTTTAAAATCACACGACACGTGGTCGTACACAAATCGTCTGCTGCCTTTACGTACATGCGTATTGATTAACCGTAAATCAAACAAATGGACATGCACCAAACATTGCTCTATAATAATTGATAAACAAAACAACAAACACCAATGAAAAACATCGGTCAGCTATATTTTAGAACATCGTAATCTTCATTCAAAAGAAAAAAAAAGGTAATCGGGAAAAGTTTAAAATCGAAAAGAAATATTTACTTAAATATTATTCCCATTAAATCACATGACACATGGTTTTACACCAGAGTAATTCGTCTGTTTTGAATAGCGTAATCGAAGGCTTTTCATAATTATGACGAAATTTTAAAGGTAATCAACAAAAAAAGAAACTGATTGTAAAATCTGTCATTCAACCTGAAAAACTAAATTAATACAAATCAAAAATACACCATGAATACATTTCTATAAATATCTTATTGAGATACAGCTACAGGTAAAACAACTGATAAGAACTGATCACTGTCCATACGTAAAATCAGGTGTAGTTTATGACTTTGAATAGTTGTGTGAAGAGGACAAACACCGCAGGTGTTAGGTAGATTAATTAACCTGACATGTCGGGCACTGTGTCGGCCACTGTGTCGGTAACCCCATGTCGGGGGAAGACTGTGTCGGTCATGTCTCTCAGTATGTCCTTGCGAGGACTGTACTACTTGTCCGATGGGACAAGTGAAAAATCGAGGTCAGATGTAAAATAGATCAAATTCAAGACTTATACATTCCCAAAAATATGAATGATTGTTTTATTGGTCATACTAAATGAAATAATATTCATTGATTGAACCAGAGACATATAATACTTGTATAATATGTCTCTGATTGAACGTATTTGAACATTCTGGCAGCCATTGACCAGGGGAATATAAGTAAGGGAGAAAGAAACCAATGTTAATGCTTCTTCTTAGTATAAGCCTCCTTGAATTAGGAGCACCTCGATATGGAGTTTTACCACAACTTTAAAATTTTAAATTAAAGTACGTTTCATTTGATTTTGCTTTTATGCATAACAATACATCAAAAGAGGTTTTATTTAATAAGATCTATATATAATAATAATAAGTTAAGATGTAAAAATTAAATAAAATCTAAAAAGGCAGATTTTTTAGTGAAATGTTTTATGTACTTCATGATCATATATCAATGTATATACAAATCAAAATAAATTGTAAAAGCTTTTTTTGACACCATCAATAAATTAAAAAGGTTTAATCATATACAAGGTAGCCAGGTGTATTTACATCCTTGGTTTAACCCATACCACTACTACAGAATGAAAAGGTTCATAGGAAAACCTAGTGGTTTGGGAAGAAATGATGATTTAATGATCGACACATGATAGTGACATTGAGTCAGAGAACTCAGTCTTGCAAATAATCTTTCAGTCTGAAATAATAAAATGAATTTTAATGTGGTATTCATATAACATTACAAAATGCTCCCTTTATTAGGTACAATCAAAGCGCAAGTGTTATTATTGCATATCATCAATATGTAAGATTTTCAATTATGAATTCGGACAATTTGATTTTCTTGCAACTTGTCCCAAGGGACAAGTTAGAAAAAATGATAATGTAGAGGCCTGCAACTCATATTTTCATGAGATAAAAGTAGCAATTTGTATTCTGCTGATTGCAGTATATATTGTTGAGGTGAAAATCTTAAAATCCACTTTTTTTAGTTTAACACATAGTTTGCTTAATCCATCAATCAGATTATCTCTAGATTTGTTTGGATAATATAAATTGTTATCTAACCAAATTTAGAGGCGGATTTAGGGGGTGGCCAAGGTGGCCTAGACCCCCCCCCCTTTTGTGGGAAAAATTTTGTTGGTTATATAGGGAATCACTGAAGCCTGACGGAAGTATGAAAATTTCTGGATCCGCCACTGAAAATCAACTTTTTGTGATATTAATTATAGGTTAAATGTCAATTAAAGTAGTGAAGACAGTTAATGCCCATTGCAATTTTTGACAGGTGTAAAAAAGTAAAGGAGGAACTATTATTCAATTGTTTATAATACATGACTGAAGCTTTAGTTTGAGCTAAAAGAAATTTAGCATAAAAAACAAGTGTAACTGCGAGCTACTGCTCACTGAGGATACCCCTGCCGCAAGTGGATAATGTTAATAGTGCAAAAATTTATATATATATATAAGTGTTCGGTAAACAGGAAGATGTCGAGTGATGTATCTAAAAATGCATTTCATAGTATAGCTGACATATATAAACTCCGAAACCAAATTTCAGAAATCCTTGTATTGTAGTTCCTGAGAAAAATGTGACGAAAATTTCTACTTGGCTATCATGTGTAAAATGATACTGTGTTCGATAAACAGGAAGTTGCCAAGTGATGAATCTGAAAACGCATAACACGGTAAAGTTGACATATATTAACCCTGAAACCAAATTTCAGAAATCCTTGTATTGTAGTTCCTGAGAAAGATGTGACGAAAATGTTCAACTTGGCCATCATATGTAAAATGATACAAGTGTTCGATAAACAGGAAGTTGTCAAGTGATGAATCTGAAAATGCATCACACGGTATAGCTGACTTATATAAACCCTGAAACCAAATTTCAGAAATCCTTGCATTGTAGTTCCTGAGGAAAATGCGACGAAAAATATTCATGGGACGGACGGACTGACGGACTGACGGACAGATGGATGGATGGACAGACAGAGGTAAAACAGTATACCCCCCCTTTTTTTAAAGCGGGGGTTTAAAATGACGTAAATTATCATAAATTAATTTGATTCATGGAAAGGAACACGGAAATATTTTGACTGGTGATAAATTTCGATTCAACTAAGTTTGAGACAACATGAGTCAACTGTATTTTTCTTCCCAACATTAATACTGAAGCAAAATGACCAGCACCAGAAAATATGTATATCATTAAGGAGTAATACATACTGTTAGTACAAGCACTATCCTTGTTGTAATATCCACTATTACATGTACATTGGTAGCCACCTCCAGTAACCTGACTACATGTTGACATGACATCTTTACATTGATCTAATGGTCCACCATTAATACATGAAGCATCAACAATTATCTCTGAAATTAAAATTATAAAGAAATCAATATCAAATTCTTTTGAATTATTTTGTTTTCAATCTCATGGATATTATATACACATATGTCCATATGTTTTGAAGTTATTATTCTATGAAACAAAAGTATCATTTATACTATGATTTGTCTGTCTATATGAGTTTATCTATTTTATATTCAGAAGTTCACAGGAAGAACTTTTTGTTTAAATAATTCATTTATTAAAACTATATGTTTTTGTCATTATCAAATAACCAAGAGGAAGGTGAAAAAAAATATAGCAAATGAAGTTTAACTTAAAACCAGATGCTCAGGGCGCAGCTTTATACGACCACAGAGGTTGAACCCTGAACAGTTGGGGGCAAGTATGGACACAACATTCAAGCTTGATACAGCTCTGAATTTGGATTGTGATTAAATAGTTGACACAGCATAGGTTTCTGACACAGAATGAATGTGGTCTAATGAACTTTAAAAAATTTAATTTACCAATATCCAAAGCTAAATACATGGCCATGGATTGATTCAGCATATCAAAGAATCCCAAAATTCAATTTTTGATGAAATCAAACAAAGTTTTATTTTGGACCCTTTTGACCTCAATGTAGACCAATTTGATAACAGGGCCCAAAAATTAGACGGTTAGATTTGGCATATCAAAGAACCTCAATAATTCAATTTTTGATGAAATCAAACAAAATATAATTTTGGACCCTTTGGACCTCATGTGGACGATTTAAAAACGGGGACCGAATTCCAAAAGCTTAATACACGGTTAGATTCAGCATATTTAAGAACCCCAAGAATTCAAGAATGAAACCCCATTGAAATTGGTCAAGAAATAAGCAATTTATACAAAAGTATTTTTGGCCCTAATTCCTAAACAGTTTGGGCCATAACCCCCAAAATCAATCCCAACCTTCCTTTTTTTAAATGGAACCTTGTGGTACAATTTCAGAAAGTTCCATACGCTTACACACAAGTTATTGTCTGGAAACAAGAAAAATACTTATTTTGACCCCTTTTGGGACCCTTGTTCCTAAACTGTTGGAACCATAACCCCCAAAATCAATCCCAAACTTCCTTTTGTGGTTTCAAATCTTGTGAAGTTGTGTTTAAATTTCATAGAGATCCATTCACTTAAACTAAAGTTAGTGTCCGGAAACTAAGTGTCTTTTCGGACGACGCTGACGACGATGACGTGATACCAATATACAAACACAAAATTTTTGTGCGGTCGTATAAAAAATTGGCAAGTAAGGAAATTAATGTTCCCGAAAAAATTAGCAGAGGAAAACATGTACACCATAAAAGATTAAGGATACATACTGTTAGTACAAGTGCCCATATTGTTGTAATATCCACTGTTGCATGCACATTTGTAGTTACCAGTTACCAGTACACATGTTGACTTGGCATCTTTACATTGATCTGATGGTCCACCATTAATACATGAAGCATCAACATCTATCTCTGAAATTAAGATTACCAAGAAATTAAAAATCACTAATTTTAAAACCATGCAGGTTGTTGTATAGTCATTTTGGCCATGTTTTTTATTGCTATAAAGGGAAGGAAAATATACCAGTAATTGTTTTTAGAATCAGAAATAAGTTATGTAATGACAGCAAATTTTTAATTTATGAAATCTTTTTTAATTTCAATTTTACAGCCCCCAGGTCAGCCATTAAAACGCGTTCCAAGATGCAGAGATCAACAGCTGTTTCATTTGTGCTAAGCTGGGATTTAAGACTACCTATACATCTTCAATCATAAACTTCTGTCCCTACCATACCTATATAGGTACCAGCTGACCACATCATTGTGAATATTTATTTCTCTAATTCTTTGACTTTTTATCACTTTCTGCACCCATTGCATAAAAAAATTTAATCAAAATGTGGTTGCTGGTGATCTCAGAAGATGACCGGATGAATTTTGGGGTCATAACCTTTATCAGATTACTGGATGCATCAAAATATGCTAACAGGTGTTAATGAAATTGACAACTTTGTGGAATGTGGAAGGCACTGACTAAGGAGTTCTTCTTTCAAAAAAAAATGAAGATTACTTTTTTTAATCATTAAAGAAAGATTCTTACATAGTTACTGGTGGATTATCAGATTTATTCAGATACATCAGATACGTCAAACAAGCTATGTGAGAGTTACAGTGACAATTTCAGCGATCAATCAGTAAATTTATTTTATGCAAGAATCAGACGGACACGTATATAATTAATATTCTTATGTAAAATTAACTCCACATTATTTAGATTCGATAAATGTGGACCTCAAAGAAGACACCTTTATACTCATTATTTTGAAATCAACTTGGTTGCAATAACACACAATAAAAAAATAAAAATTATTTTTCATGTATCACTTCTTATTCTCTTATTTTAGTTTCTGCAAAATAAATTACCTAAGTGCAGAAAATATCATGCTAAGAATGTTTATGTACCGCTAAAAAGAAATAAAATGTGATCATTTCAAATAATACTCTATTTATTTATGCCACTGCCACTAGATGATTAAAAAAAATGCTTGTGAGGGCAGCTGGATACGACCGAAGAAGTCCACCCTGATCATTTGGGCAAAAATGGACACAAAATTCGCCCTTGATACAGGTCTGAATTTGGATTGTAATTAAATATTTTAAAATATTTTTTTTATAATGACAAAAATACTAAAAAGTATTGAAAATAATACACTGAAATAAAGGCAGTTTCCAGATCAATTTTGGAAAATAAAATAATAACTATCCTGATAAACACCATTATAGCACTCTTCTGGTTTGAAAATATACAACCTAAATAAAAACGAATCAAAATCTAAATTCAGTTTTATATGCATATTTTTTCTCTTCTTTTCAGATTCTTAAAACTTGGCTGAATAATTTTTAATAAAACCATTCAAACAGGAAAACCAACGGTCTAATCTATATAAAAAACGAGAAACACTTATGAACCTTGATATACTGTCTGAATTTTGATTGCGATCAAATTTTTGACATAATATAGGTTTCTGCCACAAAATAAATGTGGTCAAAGATCTTACAAATCTTCTTGAAACTTTTTAAAAATTCTAAATTTGAAAATTTTTGAAAAAAAATATGAATCCCTTAAAAAAATTGGAAAAAAAAATCCCCCCCCCCCCCCCCCCCCCCAACTTTTTGAAACCCACTTTGGAGCAATAACCCCAAAACTCAATCCCAGCCTTTCCCTTTGTAGTATGGAACCTTGTAGTACAATTTCAGAGAGATCCATACATTTAAACACAAGTTATTATCTGGAAACTAGAAAAAATACTTGTTTTTGGCCCCTTTTTGGCCCCTCTTTCCTACAAGTTTGGGGAAATTAACCCCAAACTCTATCCCAGCCTTCCCACTGTTATATGGAACCTTGTGGTACAATGTCAGAGAGATCCATACACTTACACACAAGTAATTTTCTGGAAACTAGAAAAATGCTTGTTTTTGGCCCCTTTTTTGGCCCTTAATTGTTAAACTGTTGGCCCCATAACCCCGAAAAACTCTATGCAAGCCTTTCCCTCTGTTATATGGAACCTTGTGGTACAATGTCAGAGAGATCCATACACTTACACACAAGTAATTTTCTGGAAACTAGAAAAATGCTTGTTTTTGGCCCCTTTTTGGCCCTTAATTCCTAAACTGTTGGCCCCATAACCCCTAAAACTCTATACAAGCCTTCCCTCTGTTATATGGAACCTTGTGGTACAATGTCAGAGAGATCCATACACTTACACACAAGTTAATGTTTGGAAACCAGAAAAATTGTAAGGGTTCCGCGGAACCTAGTATCTCACCTACTTTTGCTGTTAATCTCAGGCTCAACAAAAATGTGATTTTTGATTGTAAGAAGCTTCTGTCCAAGTTTGGTAAAAATCCAGGATAGTTTATGAATCTAATAAATGTTTTAATCAAAGTGCTGGATAGCACCTCTGGGAAGTTTGCAACTGTAGATGTGCATTATTTCAAATGGGTTATAGACGTGTATTATTTCAAATATCATAGCTTTGATGTCTTTAACTAAACCATCGTCTCTTCAGCAGTTATCAAAAACCACCTTTTTTTCATCTGTTTGTCATATGAAATTTTATATTTTCTATTGCAACCTTAAACTGTAAATCTAAAATAATCAAATATACAGAAAGCTCTGTTAATTTCTTTCTGTAACCATGCCATGTGAAGGGCTTGTGATTTTAGTATTTTTCTTATTGATTAATACATGTAGGTCCTTCATATTTGTTTTTAGTAAATTGTTTTATTACTGATAAACCCGTTAGTATTCTTGTTTGAATTGTTCAACATGTTTCATATCAGGGCCTTTTATAGCTTACTATATGGTATGAGTTTTCTCATTGTTGACGACCCTATGGTGGCCTGTAGTTGTTAATATATCTTACTCCTTTTGGATATACATCGTAGCATTGGTTCATTTGCAAATAAACTGCTTCGCTGAGCGCAGCTGGATACGCCCGCAGAGGTCCAACCCTGAACAGTTGGGGCAAAAATGGACACAATATTCAAGCTTGATACAGGTCTGAATTTGGATTGTATTAAATATTTGACATATTATAGGTTTCTGAATAAATGTAGTCAAAGAACTTGAAATTGGTTATATGAATTGAATTTATATTCAATTAAAGATTTCTTGCTGTTGTGCAATACACTGTGCTGTTGTGCAATACTTAGTAAATCTGTTGTCAGACTATAAACAAATAAAGTTCAATTAATTCTCAATGTCATATTAGAAATTTATGAAAATGTAAAGGGAGCTTACATCAATAGATATAAACAATTCACCAAAGTTTCATGAGAATTGCTGTCAGCATTTTTGAGTTATTGTCTGAAAACTGAAAAATCCCCCCTTTTTTAATGAATAAAACCCCATAACTCAGAAATGTAAAATGTAAAATTTATAAAATTCTAAACAGAGCTTACATCAATAGATATAAACAATTCACCAAAGTTTCATACTAACTGCTGAAAGCATTTTTGATTTTTTGTTCGAAAACTGGAAAATCCCCCTTTTTTTATGAATAAAACCCTGTAACTCGGAAACGTAAAATCTAAAATACATAAAAATTGAAAGGGAGCTTCATGTCAATAGATATAAACAATTCACCACAATTTCTTGCAAGTTGGTGAAAGCATTCTTGAGGTATTGTCCGAAAACTGGAAAATCCCCCTTTTTTTTACATAAAACCCCATAACTAGGAAACGTAAAATCTAAAATTTATAAAAAACGAAATCGAGCTCACGTCAATAGATACAAACAATTCACCAAAGTTTTATGCAAATTGGTTAAAGCGTTTTTGAGTTAATGTCCGACATGTTGACGACGGACGGACAGACAGATGGACAACGGTATACCATAATACGTCCCGTAAACGGGCGTATAAAAACACAACATCTTTTTTTTTTTAAATAAGACAGTTAACTTAAATTAATACAACTTTAATGAAAGTGAATTTATATTAAAGGCTTTGATCAATAAATAGGGAATGTGTCCATGGGACACAAATGATGCCTTGGCTAGCATTTAACATTATAAAGGGTCACAACTCAAGAACTGTAAAAGTGATGCTACCAAAAATTGTACTTGATCTGTGTTTTGGGGTAAAAAGCATTGTGTATACATTCCTACACATTAAGTTGAGGCAAACTTACGTTTAAGAACAGAAATGAAAAAAATCAGCATTTTTTCCATTTGTAACGGGGCATAACCATAGAGCAGTAAAAATGACTCCACTAAAATTCAACTTGATCTTGGTTTTATGGTTAAAAGTATTGTGTATAAGTTTCATAACATTTGGTTGAGCAAACTAAAGTTATATAAAGGAAACGAGAAAAAAATCGACAATTTTTACATTTGAAAAGTGGCATAGTATAACTGATGCCACCAAAATTAATTTTTGATCGGCATTTTGTGGTTATGTGCATTGTTTATAAGTTTCATAACATTTCGTTAAGAGAGGGGGTCTCATCCCGATTTCCCGGTTTTAATATCAGAAAATCCGAAATCCCGGACATATTTTGTTAAAAATCCCGATCCCGATAAATTTGTTCCCCAATTTTAAAGTTTAAAGTTTCAATGCTTACGATTTAAATGTCTCGGGTATGATTGATGTTCAAAGTCTTTCAGCGTAACCAATCCGAATATGTATTATCAGTATTACCGTGACGTCAAGCTGCATATAAATTAAACCAAAATCGTTTAACGGTATAATTGAGGACCTGATCCGAGCTCAAAGCTTGTCTCTAAACTTATTGTTACATGTACTCTGATCTGGATCTACTCTGTTTCTAGATGCGATTCTGATTGAAGTATAATGAAAATGGCACTTTTATCTGTCCAAGGTACAGTTTTTTGTCAATCCCGTTATATTTCAACATAAAAATCCCATTTCCCGTGGATAAAAACGTGGCTTTCCCGTATCCCGAAGTTTTTCTATCCCGAATTCCCAAACTTTAAACAAGGCAATCCCGATTTCCCGTTGCTAAAATCGGCCGATCCCGGCGTCCCAAAAATGGTCTCGCCCCCACTCTTAAGACAAACTAAAGTTAGAGAACGGAAACTAAAAATTGCAACAACTTTTCCCTTTGTAAAGGAGCATAACTCTAGAATGGTAAAAGTGATGCCAACAAAATTCAAACTTGACCTGTGTTTTGTGGTAATATCATTGTGTATAAGTTTCATACAATTTGGTTCAGGCAAACTAAAGTAAGATAACAGAAACCAATTTAGTGATCTACGAACACACGTACAAGTAAGGGACGTACATACTTACAGAAGAACAAGGGTAAAACTTAATACGGTGGGGGCATAACAATAGCAGTATGACGACAGGAATAAAAAGTTTATATACACTAGATTCATAGAGGTGCTTATAACCCTGTAACACATTTTAGTTGCTGCTGTGAAATTTAGCATTAAGGCAATAACATTTGAGATTTTTGGTTTTCAGCCATTAATTTGATATACTAGTAATCATTGCCTCTGTGTTAGGATGACACATTGTTAATTATAGGTCTATCTTAAAGATTCATACTGCCCCAGGAATAAAGTGTGAGGATAATAAGTTCTGGATCCGCCACTGCATTGTATAGCACTAAGAAAGTAATTTTGCTAGTACATGGACAATTGTTATTTAATCATGTAAATAATTTCTACAGCACTTGTCTTGATACACTGAGCTATTCTAAGAAGTAGAAGCTGACTCGGTTACTTTTAATACAAGCCTTATCCTTGAAACAATTTGTGCACAAATATTGTTGTTAATCGTAACACTGAGGAGGCTCAGTGATACCAATTTTCGTTGAGTAATGTTTTTCTGCTTGATCCAATTGAGCATGCTGAACGAATGAAGGTCCTAATATCCACATTGGAATGTGAAACGGCTATAGTATTTAAATAACGGAATGAAAAGTTTTCAAATGTTTTTTGGCATCGAAACCTTCCGATCAATGTTTTGACAAAAAACAAGGCACTTTTCTATCAAAGCCGGTATTAATTACCTTTACTCATCCTTGGCGTGAGACATAAGCCATATGATTATCGAGTATTTCTTTCACCTGTGTATTGTTAAATCAAACCATTATCACTTGTCAAATATCCGACAGCTTGGTTAAAATATAAACATGTTGTCAGTAAGTCATACTGGATTCTTTCAATGCACTCTGGCTTTTACTTATCTTATAATAAACATTTGTAAGTTGTACGTAGTAAAAAATAGCGCAGGAAAATGTTCATTCATGAAATATTCATGAATGAAACGCTGTCTCACGTAGATTTCTTTTGATTTTCTCTTCAGCGCATGGCAGATCTGCGAAGTACTGTTTGTGATACTCATTTTCTAAATGAAATTAAATTCATCTGTCGGTGAACATTCTTTTCTTTTTTATTCAAGCTGTAATCTTTTCAAAAGGGTAGTAACTAAAAATTTCAAAAGCATCTTCCTAGAATCAGTAATCAAACACTAGTACTACATTATCTTGGAGCAGAACATTTGCAATAGTCTGTCACTGGAAGTTTGAGGCCGACGCCTTAGGAAAGTATTGCTATAGAAAGTATAGCAAACTTCCCAAAAACTTTCACTGCAAACTGTATGTAATGTTAACTTGAAGAAAAAATTAAGTCCATTTATAAGTAAAATACGGATAAACAGGTACAAAAATTTTAACCAAATTTCCTTCTAGATACTAGCTTTTGATCATAAACAAGCTTCTGTCCAAGTTTGGTACAAATCCAGGATAGTATAAGAAAGTTATTAAAATTTTAAAAACTTTAACCTCAGAGTGAATGTATTGTTTCCTGGCAGAAAAACTAAGTCCATTTATAAGTAAAATACAGAAAAAATGGAATTTTATTTTTACAAAATTTACTTCTGGATACTATCTTCTGATCATAAACAAGCTTCTGTCCAAGTTTGGTAGAAATCCAGGATAGTTTAAGAAAGTTATTAAAATTTCAAAAACTTTAACCACAGATGTGAATATTTGTGGCTGCCGCTGCCGCCGCCGCCAACGACGATTATGACCACGACGAGGCCGATTACGAAGAAGCCGACGACGGAATGTAGGATTGCTATGTCTCGCTTTTTCGACTAAAGTTGAAGGCTCGACAAAAGTGCTTGTTTTTGGCCCCTTTTTGGCCCTTAATTCCTAAACTGTTGGCCCCATAACCCCTAAAATGAATCGCAACCTTCTACTTGTGGTATTAAATATTGTGGTACAATTTCAGAGCAATCGAAATACTTATAAATACACAAGTTATTATCCTGAAACTAGAAAAATGCTTGTTTAGGGCCCCTTTTGGGTCCCTTATTCCTAAACGGTTGGGACCATTATCCCAAAAATCAATCCCAACCTTCCTTTTGTGGTATTGAACCTTACTAAAAAATTTCATAGAGATCCATTCACTTTACATTAAGTTATTGTCCAGAAACCAATGTGTCTTCGGACATCGACACAGAAGACGACGACACAATACCATTATACGATCGTATAAAAAGAAGTTAATCTGTGAGCTACTGCTCACTAATGATATTGGTACCCTGCCCGCTAAAAGTATAAGGTAAACAGGAAGTTATTGAGTGATGAATCTCAAAATGCATCTCAATGTATAGCTGACAAAATTCCTTGTAATGTAGTTACTGAGAAAGATGCAACGAAAAATATTCATGGGACGGACGCTTGGATTGACAGATGGACAGACAGAAAAACAGACAGAGCCAGAGGTAAAACAGTTTACCCCACTTTTTTACAGCTGGGGTATTAATAAAGCATTTTACCCCTATGTTCCATTTTAGCCATAGTGGTTATGTTTCTTGATGTACAAGGAAATAAAATACCAAATTTATACTAAATACTGTAAAACTCATTCAGCCAAAGTTTGACTGAAATTTCAGAAAGTTCCATACGCTTACACACAAGTTATTGTCTGGAAACAAGAAAAATACTTATTTTGACCCCTTTTGGGACCCTTGTTCCTAAACTGTTGGAATCATAACCCCCAAAATCAATCCCAAACTTCCTTTTGTGGTTTCAAACCTTGTGAAGTTGTGTTTAAATTTCATTTAAAGTTAGTGTCCGGAAACTAAGTGTCTTCGGACGACGCTGACGACGATGACGTGATACCAATATACAAACACAAAATTTTTTTGCGGTCGTATAAAAAATTGGCAAGTAAGGAAATTAATGTTCCCGAAAAAATTAGCAGAGGAAAACATGTACACCATAAAAGATTAAGGATACATACTGTTAGTACAAGTGCCTATATTGTTGTAATATCCACTGTTACATGCACATTTGTAGTTACCAGTTACCAGTACACATGTTGACTTGGCATCTTTACATTGATCTGATGGTCTACCATTAATACATGAAGCATCAACATCTATCTCTGAAATTAAGATTACCAAGAAATTAAAAATCACTAATTTTAAAACCATGCAGGTTGTTGTATAGTCATTTTGGCCATGTTTTTTATTGCTATAAAGGGAAGGAAAATATACCAGTAATTGTTTTTAGAATCAGAAATAAGTTATGTAATGACAGCAAATTTTTAATTTATGAAATCTTTTTTAATTTCAATTTTACAGCCCCCAGGTCAGCCATTAAAACGCATTCCAAGATGCAGAGATCAACAGCAGTTTCATTTGTGCTAAGCTGGGATTTAAGACTACCTATACATCTTCAATCATAAACTTTTGTCCCTACCATACCTATATAGCTACCAGCTGACCACATCATTGTGAATATTTATTTCTCTAATTCTTTGACTTTTTATCACTTTCTGCACCCATTGCATAAAAAAATTTAATCAAAATGTGGTTGCTGGTGATCTCAGAAGATGACCGGATGAATTTTGGGGTCATAACCTTTATCAGATTACTGGATGCATCAAAATATGCTAACAGGTGTTAATGAAATTGACAACTTTGATGAATGTGGAAGGCACTGACTAAGGAGTTCTTCTTTTAAAAAAAAATGAAGATTACTTTTTTTAATCATTAAAGAAAGATTCTTACATAGTTACTGGTGGATTATCAGATTTATTCAGATACATCAGATACGTCAAACAAGCTATGTGAGAGTTACAGTGACAATTTCAGCGATCAATCAGTAAATTTATTTTATGCACGGATCAGACGGATACGTATATAATTAATATTCTTATGTAAAATTAACTCCACATTATTTAGATTCGATAAATGTGGACCTCAAAGAAGACACCTTTATACTCGTTATTTTGAAATCAACTTGGTTGCAATAACACACAATAAAAAAATAAAAATTATTTTTCATGTATCACTTCATATTCTCTTATTTTAGTTTCTGCAAAATAAATTACCTAAGTGCAGAAAATATCATGCTAAGAATGTTTATGTACCGCTAAAAAGCAATAAAATGTGATCATTTCAAATAATACTCTATTTATTTATGCCACTGCCACTAGATGATTAAAAAAAAATGCTTGTGAGGGCAGCTGGATACGACCGAAGAGGTCCACCCTGATCATTTGGGCAAAAATGGACACAAAATTCGCCCTTGATACAGGTCTGAATTTGGATTGTAATTAAATATTTTAAAATATTTTTTTTATAATGACAAAAATACTAAAAAGTATTGAAAATAATACACTGAAATAAAGGCAGTTTCCAGATCAATTTTGGAAAATAAAATAATAACTATCCTGATAAACACCATTTTAGCACTCTTCTGGTTTGAAAATATACAACCTAAATAAAAACGAATCAAAATCTAAATTCAGTTTTATATGCATATTTTTTCTCTTCTTTTCAGATTCTTAAAACTTGGCTGAATAATTTTTAATAAAACCATTCAAACAGGAAAACCAACGGTCTAATCTATATAAAAAACGAGAAACACTTATGAACCTTGATATACTGTCTGAATTTTGATTGTGATCAAATTTTTGACATAATATAGGTTTCTGCCACAAAATAAATGTGGTCAAAGATCTTACAAATCTTCTTGAAACTTTTTAAAAATTCTAAATTTGAAAATTTTTGAAAAAAAATATGAATCCCTTAAAAAAATTGGAAAAAAAAATCCCCCCCCCCCCCCCCCAACTTTTTGAAACCCACTTTGGAGCAATAACCCCAAAACTCAATCCCAGCCTTTCCTTTGTAGTATGGAACCTTGTAGTACAATTTCAGAGAGATCCATACATTTAAACACAAGTTATTATCTGGAAACTAGAAAAAATACTTGTTTTTGGCCCCTTTTTGGCCCCTCTTTCCTACAAGTTTGGGGAAATTAACCCCAAACTCTATCCCAGCCTTCCCACTGTTATATGGAACCTTGTGGTACAATGTCAGAGAGATCCATACACTTACACACAAGTAATTTTCTGGAAACTAGAAAAATGCTTGTTTTTGGCCCCTTTTTTGGCCCTTAATTGTTAAACTGTTGGCCCCATAACCCCGAAAAACTCTATGCAAGCCTTTCCCTCTGTTATATGGAACCTTGTGGTACAATGTCAGAGAGATCCATACACTTACACACAAGTAATTTTCTGGAAACTAGAAAAATGCTTGTTTTTGGCCCCTTTTTGGCCCTTAATTCCTAAACTGTTGGCCCCATAACCCCTAAAACTCTATACAAGCCTTCCCTCTGTTATATGGAACCTTGTGGTACAATGTCAGAGAGATCCATACACTTACACACAAGTTAATGTTTGGAAACCAGAAAAATTGTAAGGGTTCCGCGGAACCTAGTATCTCACCTACTTTTGCTGTTAATCTCAGGCTCAACAAAAATGTGATTTTTGATTGTAAGAAGCTTCTGTCCAAGTTTGGTAAAAATCCAGGATAGTTTATGAATCTAATAAATGTTTTAATCAAAGTGCTGGATAGCACCTCTGGGAAGTTTGCAACTGTAGATGTGCATTATTTCAAATGGGTTATAGACGTGTATTATTTCAAATATCATAGCTTTGATGTCTTTAACTAAACCATCGTCTCTTCAGCAGTTATCAAAAACCACCTTTTTTCATCTGTTTGTCATATGAAATTTTATATTTTCTATTGCAACCTTAAACTGTAAATCTAAAATAATCAAATATACAGAAAGCTCTGTTAATTTCTTTCTGTAACCATGCCATGTGAAGGGCTTGTGATTTTAGTATTTTTCTTATTGATTAATACATGTAGGTCCTTCATATTTGTTTTTAGTAAATTGTTTTATTACTGATAAACCCTTTAGTATTCTTCATGTTCTTGTTTGAATTGTTCAACATGTTTCATATCAGGGCCTTTTATAGCTTACTATATGGTATGAGTTTTCTCATTGTTGACGACCCTATGGTGGCCTGTAGTTGTTAATATATCTTACTCCTTTTGGATATACATCGTAGCATTGGTTCATTTGCAAATAAACTGCTTCGCTGAGCGCAGCTGGATACGCCCGTAGAGGTCCAATCCTGAACAGTTGGGGCAAAAATGGACACAATATTCAAGCTTGATACAGGTCTGAATTTGGATTGTATTAAATATTTGACATATTATAGGTTTCTGAATAAATGTAGTCAAAGAACTTGAAATTGGCTATATGAATTGAATTTATATTCAATTAAAGATTTCTTGCTGTTGTGCAATACACTGTGCTGTTGTGCAATACTTAGTAAATCTGTTGTCAGACTATAAACAAATAAAGTTCAATTAATTCTCAATGTCATATTAGAAATTTATGAAAATGTAAAGGGAGCTTACATCAATAGATATAAACAATTCACCAAAGTTTCATGAGAATTGCTGTCAGCATTTTTGAGTTATTGTCTGAAAACTGAAAAATCCCCCCTTTTTTAATGAATAAAACCCCATAACTCAGAAATGTAAAATGTAAAATTTATAAAATTCTAAACAGAGCTTACATCAATAGATATAAACAATTCACCAAAGTTTCATACTAACTGCTGAAAGCATTTTTGATTTTTTGTTCGAAAACTGGAAAATCCCCCTTTTTTTATGAATAAAACCCTGTAACTCGGAAATGTAAAATCTAAAATACATAAAAATTGAAAGGGAGCTTCATGTCAATAGATATAAACAATTCACCACAATTTCTTGCAAGTTGGTGAAAGCATTCTTGAGGTATTGTCCGAAAACTGGAAAATCCCCCTTTTTTTACATAAAACCCCATAACTCGGAAACGTAAAATCTAAAATTTATAAAAAACGAAATCGAGCTCACGTCAATAGCTACAAAAAATTCACCAAAGTTTTATGCAAATTGGTTAAAGCATTTTTGAGTTAATGTCCGACATGTTGACGACGGACGGACAGACGGACAACGGTATACCATAATACGTCCCGTAAACGGGCGTATAAAAACACAACATCTTTTTTTTTTTAAATAAGACAGTTAACTTAAATTAATACAACTTTAATGAAAGTGAATTTATATTAAAGGCTTTGATCAATAAATAGGGAATGTGTCCATGGGACACAAATGATGCCCTGGCTAGCATTTAACATTATAAAGGGTCACAACTCAAGAACTGTAAAAGTGATGCTACCAAAAATTGTACTTGATCTGTGTTTTGGGGTAAAAAGCATTGTGTATACATTCCTACACATTAAGTTGAGGCAAACTTACGTTTAAGAACAGAAATGAAAAAAATCAGCATTTTTTCCATTTGTAACGGGGCATAACCATAGAGCAGTAAAAATGACTCCACTAAAATTCAACTTGATCTTGAGGGGGTCTCATCCCGATTTCCCGGTTTTAATATCAGAAAATCCGAAATCCCGGACATATTTTGTTAAAAATCCCGATCCCGATAAATTTGTTCCCCAATTTTAAAGTTTAAAGTTTCAATGCTTACGATTTAAACGTCTCGGGTATGATTGATGTTCAAAGTCTTTCAGCGTAACCAATCCGAATATGTATAATCAGTATTACCGTGACGTCAAGCTGCATATAAATTAAACCAAAATCGTTTAACGGTATAATTGAGGACCTGATCCGAGCTCAAAGCTTATCTCTAAACTTATTGTTACATGTACTCTGATCTGGATCTACTCTGTTTCTAGATGCGATTCTGATTGAAGTATAATGAAAATGGCACTTTTATCTGTCCAAGGTACAGTTTTTTGTCAATCCCGTTATATTTCAACATAAAAATCCCATTTCCCGTGGATAAAAACGTGGCTTTCCCGTATCCCGAAGTTTTTCTATCCCGAATTCCCAAACTTTAAACAAGGCAATCCCGATTTCCCGTTGCTAAAATCGGCCGATCCCGGCGTCCCAAAAATGGTCTCGCCCCCACTCTTAAGACAAACTAAAGTTAGAAAACGGAAACTAAAAATTGCAACAACTTTTCCCTTTGTAAAGGAGCATAACTCTAGAATGGTAAAAGTGATGCCAACAAAATTCAAACTTGACCTGTGTTTTGTGGTAATATCATTGTGTATAAGTTTCATACAATTTGGTTCAGGCAAACTAAAGTAAGATAACAGAAACCAATTTAGTGATCTACGAACACACGTACAAGTAAGGGACGTACATACTTACGTATACAGAAGAACAAGGGTAAAACTTAATACGGTGGGGGCATAACAATAGCAGTATGACGACAGGAATAAAAAGTTTATATACACTAGATTCATAGAGGTGCTTATAACCCTGTAACACATTTTAGTTGCTGCTGTGAAATTTAGCATTAAGGCAATAACATTTGAGATTTTTGGTTTTCAGCCATTAATTTGATATACTAGTAATCATTGCCTCTGTGTTAGGATGACACATTGTTAATTATAGGTCTATCTTAAAGAATCATACTGCCCCAGGAATAAAGTGTGAGGATAATAAGTTCTGGATCCGCCACTGCATTGTATAGCACTAAGAAAGTAATTTTGCTAGTACATGGACAATTGTTATTTAATCATGTAAATAATTTCTACAGCACTTGTCTTGATACACTGAGCTATTCTAAGAAGTAGAAGCTGACTCGGTTACTTTTAATACAAGCCTTATCCTTGAAACAATTTGTGCACAAATATTGTTGTTAATCGTAACACTGAGGAGGCTCAGTGATACCAATTTTCGTTGAGTAATGTTTTTCTGCTTGATCCAATTGAGCATGCTGAACGAATGAAGGTCCTAATATCCACATTGGAATGTGAAACGGCTATAGTATTTAAATAACGGAATGAAAAGTTTTCAAATGTTTTTTTGGCATCAAAACCTTCCAATCAATGATTTGACAAAAAACAAGGCACTTTTCTATCAAAGCCGGTATTAATTACCTTTACTCATCCTTGGCGTGAGACATAAGCCATATGATTATCGAGTATTTCTTTCACCTGTGTATTGTTAAATCAAACCATTATCACTTGTCAAATATCCGACAGCTTGGTTAAAATATAAACATGTTGTCAGTAAGTCATACTGGATTCTTTCAATGCACTCTGGCTTTTACTTATCTTATAATAAACATTTGTAAGTTGTACTTAGTAAAAAATAGCGCAGGAAAATGTTCATTCATGAAATATTCATGAATGAAACGCTGTCTCGCGTAGATTTCTTTTGATTTTCTCTTCAGCGCATGGCAGATCTGCGAAGTACTGTTTGTGATACTCATTTTCTAAATGAAATTAAATTCATCTGTCGGTGAACATTCTTTTCTTTTTTATTCAAGCTGCAGAGTGAATATTTGTGGCTGCCGCCGCCGCCAACGACGATTATGACCACGACGAGGCCGATTACGAAGAAGCCGACGACGGAATGTAGGATTGCTATGTCTCGCTTTTTCGACTAAAGTTGAAGGCTCGACAAAAGTGCTTGTTTTTAGCCCCTTTTTGGCCCTTAATTCCTAAACTGTTGGCCCCATAACCCCTAAAATGAATCGCAACCTTCTACTTGTGGTATTAAATATTGTGGTACAATTTCAGAGCAATCGAAATACTTATAAATACACAAGTTATTATCCTGAAACTAGAAAAATGCTTGTTTAGGGCCCCTTTTGGGTCCCTTATTCCTAAACGGTTGGGACCATTATCCCAAAAATCAATCCCAACCTTCCTTTTGTGGTATTGAACCTTACTAAAAAATTTCATAGAGATCCATTCACTTTACATTAAGTTATTGTCCAGAAACCAATGTGTCTTCGGACATCGACACAGAAGACGACGACACAATGCATTATACGATCGTATAAAAAGAAGTTAATCTGTGAGCTACTGCTCACTAAAGATATTGGTACCCTGCCCGCTAAAAGTATAAGGTAAACAGGAAGTTATTGAGTGATGAATCTCAAAATGCATCTCAATGTATAGCTGACAAAATTCCTTGTAATGTAGTTACTGAGAAAGATGCAACGAAAAATATTCATGGGACGGATGCTTGGATTGACAGATGGACAGACAGAAACAGACAGAGCCAGAGGTAAAACAGTTTACCCCACTTTTTTACAGCTGGGGTATTAATAAAGCATTTTACCCCTATGTTCCATTTTAGCCATAGTGGTTATGTTTCTTGATGTACAAGGAAATAAAATACCAAATTTATACTAAATACTGTAAAACTCATTCAGCCAAAGTTTGACTGAAATTGATTCAGCAGTTCCAAAGGAGAAGTTTTTTTAAAGTAAGCAAACTAGATGAACAAATTGTGAAAAATTGTCTGTAAAGGGCAATAACTCCTGAAGGGGTCAATTGACAATTTTGGTCATATAAACTTATTTGTAGATTTTACTTTGCTGAACATTTTTGCTGTTCAGTTTATCTCTAACATTTATAATATTCAAGATAATAATCAATAAATTGCTTCACAGAGCCCAGCTGGATATGACCGAAGAGGTCCAACCCTGAACCGTTGGGGCAAAAATGGACACAATATTCAATCTTGATTTAGGTTTGAATTTGGATTGTAATTAAATATTTGACACATAATAGGTTTCTGACACAGAATAACTGTTGTCAAAGAACTTAGAATTGGTTATATGATTTGAATGTATACTCAATTTTTTGCTTTTGTGCAATACACTATGCTTTTGTGAATTGCAGCCCCCCTTCCCAAAAATAAAAAATTACCCCCCCCCCCCCCCCTTTTTTTTTTGTGCAATACACAATGCTGTTGCATATAGACCCCAACCCCCAAAAAAATTGTATCCCCCCCCCTTTTTTTGCAAAAAAATAAAAATATGAAGAAATTTTCTTTTTGATTTCTGAAATCTGAAATGAGAAAAAATTATCCCCACCCTGCCCCCCCCCCCCCCCCCCCCCAAAAAAAATAATTCTTTTTTACACCCTCTCTCAAATTTTTTTTTTTCACCTCCCCTACCCTTTTTCCAAAAAAAAAATTCTTTCCCTCAAGATATGGTCATAATTTAAATTCAAATTTCCATTGGAGATGCAACCATAATTACCCATTTAAATACATCATAAAAGTCTTATAATAGAAAATTCATATTCCTTAATCAGCATAAATTTAATAGCAACTTCTTAAAGTAAAGTTTGACAGCTAATCACCTAAAGAAAATAAATTATTTCTTAATATATAATTTTAAAGCAGTGTAAGGGAGGTAATCCAACATATTATGTTTGGATTACATTTGGATTACCTCCCTTACACTGCTTTGAAATTGTCTTAATTGTCCATTATCCAAGAAACCCTTGTTTTTCCCCCTTTTTTACCCCTAATTCTTAAACAGTTTAAAGCCAATCCTAACCATCCCTTTGTGGTATGGAAACTTGTGGTATAATTTCAGAGATTCATACACTTAAACACAAGTTATTGTCTGGAAACTAGAAAAATGACTTTTTGGGCCTCTTTTTGGCCCATAATTCCAAAACTGTTAGAACCATAACCCCTAAAATCAATCCCAACCTTCCTTTTGTGGTAATAACCTTGTGTTTAAATTTCATAGATTTCTATTTCTTATACTTAAGTTATTGTCGGGAAACCAACTGTCTTTGGAGGACGACGACCAGGTGATACCAATATAAGACCACAAAATTTTTTGGCGGGTCGTATAAAAACTGCAAAATATTCTTAAAATTACCAATCTAGTGGCAGCAACCCATTTTACATTCATCTGAAAATTTCATGGCTGATAGAACCTTGACCTAATGAACAATTTTACCTCCCATATGATTTGCTCTAAATGCTTTAGTGTTTGAGATATAAGCCAAAAAACATTTTACCCTATGCCTAGCCACCGAAACATGTCGTTCTCAATAAATTACTGGAGCATTCCTTAAAGTGTTGTTGTTACCTGACCTACATTTTATGTTTTATTGTAACGACCCTGCATACCCGAGGTATCCACTTTATGGAATTTACTGACAGAAGATTTACCAGGCGTTGGTTCACTTTTGTTTAATTTATTTAATTAATTTAATATAGAAAATAAAGATACATACTGTTAGTACAAGTTCCTCCATTGTTGTAATATCCACTGTTACATGCACATTTGTAGTTACCAGTTACCAGTACACATATTGACTTGGCATCTTTACATTGATCTGATGGTCCACCATTAATACATGAAGCATCAACATCTATCTCTGAAATTAAGATTACAAAGAAATTAATATCCATTTATTCTAATTGACTTTTTATTATAAACTTCTTTATGTCAAATGCTGGTATTATGTTATCAAAAACAAATTATCTAAATATCATGTTCTTCAATAAGACATATATTTGAAATTTACCACTTTAACATTCGTGATTTACAACAAATTAAAGTACAAAACGTATGGTTGTCTTCATCAATGGTAGTTGTTCAATTGTTGAACTTCAATCAAGAAATTTGATACCAGGAACTAAATCTAATTTAGGTTTTCCAATATGTAGCTTTTAACTCCAGTTAAAAGATAGGGTATGTTGACTTTATGATATTTGAATTATTGCCACCAGAGACATATTATAAGATTCGACAATACTGATTTTAGTATTTTCTCAAAAAAGATAAAGAAAAAGAACTATATGTATACCATGGACAGATTAAAGATACATACTGTTAGTACAAGTTCCATCCTTGTTGTAATATCCGCTGTTACATGCACATTTGTAGTTACCAGTAACCAGTACACATGTTGACTTGGAATCTTTACATTGATCTGATGGTCCACCATTAGTACATGCTGCATCAACATTTATCTCTGAAATTAAGATTACAAAGAAATTAATATACACAATATCTGAATTATTTATTTCATCCATTTCTATGTTCAATTGACAGTGTAATCAGGGTAAGACCCACTGTTTGGCATACAATTAGTAAATCTAACATCATAATTTAACATGTTTTCAATGTTTCAAGTTGATGTAAAAGATCAGATACATACTGTTAGTACAAATTCCTCCATTGTTGTAATATCCACTGTTACATGCACATTTGTAGTTACCAGTTACCAGTACACATGTTGACTTGGCATCTTTACATTGATCTGATGGTCCACCATTAATACATGAAGTATCAACATCTATCTCTGAAATTAAGATTACAAAGAAATTAATAATCACTAATTTTAAAACAATGCAGGTTGTTGTATAGTCATTTTAAGATTAAGATTACAAAATTTAACAAGAGTGCACACCCTAATATGTCCTCTTGTACTTGACATTGAATTCATGTTGGAAGTCTATATGAACGTTGACCACAAGCATCACATAAACTTAACATTATCAATGTTCTATGAAAATGAGGTCATAGTTAGATGAACTATGCCAGACAGACATGTACTCCTTACAATCATTCCAAATAAAGAGGTCCTATACCTTATACATGTAGTACCTAAAAAAACAGATCCAACCACAAAATCTTAACATCGACCAATGAACCATCAAAATTAGGTCACATTCACATGAACCCTATCAGACAGACAGGGTCACCTTTCATGTTCATTTCATACACCAAATATAGAAGACATATTGCTTATAGTATCTGATATATGGACTTTTAAAAACTTATCCTTGTTCACTGATCCGTGAAATGAGGTTGAGGACAACTGAAAACTGTATGACAAGCAATAGGACCTTGCATAGTACACACATATCAAATAAAGTTATCATATTATTCATAACAAGCATACCGGTACTGTGAGTATTAAAATTGAGAATGGAAATGGGGAATGTGTCAAAGAGACAACAACCCTACCATAGAGCAGACAACAGCCGAAGGCCACCAATGGGTCTTCAATGCAGCGAGAAACTCCCGCACCCGGAGGTGTCCTTCAGCTGGCCCCTAAACAAATATGTATACTAGTTCAGTGATAATGGACGTCATACTAAATTATACAAATTATACACAAGAAACTAAAATTAAAAATCATACAAGACTAACAAAGGCCAGAGGTTCCTGTCTTGGGACAGGTTCAAAAATGTGGCGGGGTTAAACATGTTTTTTGAGATCTCAACCCTCCCCCTATACCTCTAGCCAATGTCGAAAAATCAAACGCACAACAGTACGCACAGTGAATCTCAGTTTAAGAGAAGTCTGAGTCCCATGTCAGAATAGGAAACAAAAGAAAATAAACAAAATGACAATAATACATAAATAACAACAGACTACTAGCAGTTACTGACATGCCAGCTCCAGACCTCAATTAAACTGATTGAAAGATTATGTCTTCATCATATGAATATCAGGCACAATCCCTCCTGTTAGGGGTTTAGTATAATACCATCATAAAATATATGAGAAGAACATAACCTGTGTCATGCCAACAACTGGTTTTAGAATAAATGTGTTTAATTCTGGTGCAAAGACCCTATAAGTGAATCAATATTAAAGCCAAAATATGCAATCTTTAATGACCTGACAACAGTATCGTAACTATATCCCTTCTTAATAAGTCTGTTTAAAGGTTTTGTAAGCTTTTGAGGTGAATACTGACATTTTTGTGCTTTGTAAAGAATATTACCATAAAAGATTGGATGTGAAATACCTGAACATATAAGATGTCTGCATGTTGAGTTATATTTACAAATGATGTCCTTATACCGATGATAAAATTTAGTAATTGTTTTGACTAGTTCATGATATCGAAAACCCTGGTGTAATAATTTTTCAGTAATACATAAATTTCTCTGCAATACATAATGAGTCCCTTAACTGTTAAATATTCATTTTATTGGAATAAAATTCTAACTTGATCTATCACTTGTTATATATGGTGTAAACTAAATAATAAATAGCAAGTCAATATCTTCAACATGTTCAAGCATGACGAAAAAAAGTGTTGAAAACTGATTATTAATGAGTGAATTTTATAAGTCCGAGGACCATGACACTGCAGAAAATCATCAGACCGGAACAAAATTCAAACTTGATCTGTAACTTGTCATGATAAAACTATATACCAATTATTAATTCAATATTTTCAAGAATAACAAAAAAATGTGTGGAACTGATTATCTCAGTGAACTAAGTCCCCTTTGACTTCGTTAGTAGGGGACTAATAAGAGAGAACTTAACATAATAAATGGGGAATGTGTCCATGGGACACAGATGATGCCCCCGCTTGCACATCATATAAAGTTATAAAGGGACATAACTGAAGAACAGTAAAAGTGTAGCTATCCAAATTTGTACTTGATCTGAGTTTTGTTGAAATAACAATTGTCTATAAGTCTCATATCATTTGATTGAGGCAACTTAGTTTAGAGAACGAAAACCAATAATTCAGCAATTTTTCAATTTGTAAATGATCCGTATTTTGTTGTTAAAGCATTTTGTATTCAAATTTCATAGCATTTGGTTGAGGCAAAATAAAGTTAGAGAATGGAAACAAAATATTTAACAATTTTTTCAATTTTAAAGGGGCGTAACTCAAGAACAATAAAAGTGACACCCAAAAACTCAAAATTGATCTGTATTTTATTTGTGGTAATAAGCATTGTGTATAAGTTTCATATCATTTAGTTCAGGCAAACTAAAGTAAGAGAACAGTAACTGCTAATTTTTCCAATTGTAAAGGGGCATTACTCTAATACAGTTCAAGTGACGCCTCCAATATTCAAACTTGATCTGTATTTTGTGGTAATAAGCATTGTGTATAAGTTTCATACCATTTGGTTGAGGCAAACTAAAGGTAGAGAACGGAAACCAACTTTGGGACGGACGTACAGGGGTAAAACTTAGTACCCCCTCTGCTACAGTGGGAGCATAACAAAAATGTTTTGGCCAGTTGAGCTAAAATATCCTGATACTGCATGACTGTTGATTAGAATTAAATTTTCTACAATTCCATACATTGAGTCTTGATGATCATGTTCAACTTGAGAGAAGCAAATATACTAGGAATTGAAAGTTTTTCGTTCAAAGGTAAAAGTGTAGTTAACTTGTTGTATACCAGCTTCCCTTGTCAGGTATATGACAGTTGTTATTCATAAGTTTGATGTGTTTGAGCTTTTAATTTTGCCATTTGATTAAGGACTTTCTGTTTTGAATTTTCCTCTAAAATATTTTCTATGGTATGCATGGTAAATAGTGCTATGGCTATTTTTTGTGTTCTTGTCTTTTTTTTTGCTGGTGTTCTTTGTCTATATGTCTTTCTTTCTTTGTACAGTATATATTTTTTGGTTTTTAAAGCAATTAACATAATTAAGATTGTAACACAATGTTAACTGCTGTACCCTAATTTTGACATTTTTACCTATTATGTCTGTTTGTTTTGTTCACATATTGTTGTCAATATATATGATATAATGGAATTTTATGTGACTGTCATGACTGTCATACAAGCTTAAGTGAGAGATTTAGCTAGCTCTAAAACCAGGTTTGATCCACCATTTTCTACATAAGAAAATGCCTGAACCAAGTCAGGAATATGACAGAACTTTGTTATTCATTTGTTTGATGTGTTCATGGTGTTTGAGCTTTTGATTTGAATTTTTAAAATGATTAAAAAAAAAAGGTGCAACAGAATGAGGTAATTGACAAATGTATGGTCCTAAAGTAATAGGTGCTGATCATGAGTAGTCACTGGTCCTGTGAATTCTTTTTCAATAATGTTTGTAATGACATTTGACATAAAATTGAGAATGGAAATGGGGAATGTGTCAAAGAGACAACAACCCAACCATAGAGCAGACAACAGTCAACAAATTACATGTCTAATTTGAATTATTTAGTTTGTCGACGGCTGCGCTCTATGTTTCGTGATCTTAAATTTGGTTGAAATCCTGCTGATTTTGTAAAATTTCTCTAAAAATCTTATTTTGACCAGCTGGGATGTAAACATCAATGCTTTAGAATAAAACTATGACAGAAATCGGTCTTTTAAAATTTCTCACATGTCTTTAAGTCAACTTAAAACATTTTTTTACCCTGTACCATTGAACTTTGTAATTGGGGCCAAATATGACCCTTACCGAACTTACTCCTTTTAGCCAATGTCAATTAAAAGTGGTTACATAAAGATTGCATTTTCATAAACATTATCCACATTAGGTAACACAAAAAATTCAGAAATATTTGCATGCATTTATTATTGTGATTGTTCATTAATGTACAAAACTATGAAACAAAAGCTAGCAATGCTGCATACAAATAATTTTACAAAATTTCAAAAAATTTCTGAATTTACAGTAATCAGTTATACAGAAACATATAAAAATTAACATTTGTATTTATCATGTTTATCATCCACAATGTTAAATGTACCTTAATGGTCTTGCCATGTTTTTGTTTTTATGACTTACTTAGTTGACAACTATTTCCTTGTTCAAAGTAAGCAGCTAGACATCGACATTTACCACTAGAACCACCACCACTTGTGTCACATCCTGAATTACTTATTCCAGCTGTAACTGTACAATTATGATTAGCGATACAGGTTGTAGAGCTTACTGTAGCATTGCATGGCAAACAGAGAACACAGACCAACAAAAACTGAAAAGAAAATACTTTGATTTTAAATAATCATAGCATTTGAGCTACATTGTACATGTCTAATTATAATGCTTCAATAAGTATTCTGGTTGAAATGTTGGTAAAACATTCAGAGCAACTGTACCAAACCATGGTATTTTTTTACCTATATTTTGTACCATAGAAAATTGACCGCCTTTTAATTTATCATTGTCATTTTGCTTAGATTATTTTGTTACCTATTCTGACATCAGACTCTGACTTTTTTTAATCTGAGTTTAACTGTGCGTATTACTGTGTGTTTGTTTTTTCTACATTGGCTAGAGGTATAAGGGGAAGGGGGAAATCTCACTAAACATGCTTAACCATGCATGCTGAGTTAAAGGTGTCTGTCCCAAGCCAGGAGCCTCTAGACTTGTATGATTTTTAATTTTAGTTCATTTTTAAAATGTTTTGGAGTTCATGACATCCATTTTCACTGAACTAGTGCACATTTTTGTTTGGAGGCCAGCGCCTCCAAGTGCGGGATTTTCTCGCTGTGTTGAAGACCCATTGGTGGCCTTAATCAGCGTTTTACGTTTCCGCAAATTGGCA